GCAATAGTCATAACAAAAACTTTGTTATTCGACTATTTGTTTAGCTGCAACACAAGTAAACCGACCACCACCGATCCTTTAAAATTTGTTGAGTGTTTAATTTTCATTTATGATGAAGCGAGGAGATTGTGGAGTCGATTAATTAATCAAAAAGAATTGTAGTCTCTCCATGTCTTTAAACTCTACTGAGTTTATCGCTTGCAAAATAACCAAAATAACATTGGACATTGAATCACCTACATCCGTGTAAAATTATAACCTGATCCGAATATTGTGGCGGGCGAGGTGACATTTTTGGGAGTTTTTTTCCTGATTTCCGGCTGATCCGTTTGGTTAATCCAAAAATGTATACGACAACATTTTTAGACTCGGAAAGTTGAATCGAATGACATCTTGAACGAGGAGATCGGATAAAGTTAAATTCGTTTTATACGACAACGCGTTCCAGATGTTCGGTAATCAGGATTTTCCCGTTGAGTTGTGATAACTTTATCCATCAGTTGAATAGTGCAACTTTTAAATGTAGCTCGCAGTAGAGTTGGGATGGGAATCGATGTAAGTAACTGCCGAACCCGGATCTCTAGACACATTTCTCAAGAATTCATAACTTTGGTCATACTCAATATTTTGTTTTCATTTAAAGCCTATGTTTTAAGTCAAAAAACCCTGAATGTAATGTCAAAATTTCAAAAGTCTACAATAAACCGTTGCTGAGCATACCCCTGACAAAATTTCGTTGCAATGCGGACATACACACAGACAACAAAATTTTTAAAAGTGGATTTGGTGTCTGCAATGTATGAAACAGAAGAATATCATAAAACGGGTTGATTCTATTCAATGAACAGACAAAGTCTTTATTTTATTTATATAGATATAATAAAAAACATATGTTGTAATTATCATTGTTTTTTCAAAACAAAAGTTCGTGAATAAAGTTAGTATAGTTCAAGCTGTCACGGTGTTCACTTCATTACTTTTTACTTTATTCTCAATTCCCGTATTACTAAAAAACTTAATTTATATATATGTATATATAAATTTATAGGATTGTGATGAGTGGGTGATAAGATTGGGTTATAGCAGACCTCAATAGGTAGGAAAAATTTCTAATAAATAATGGTCAGATTTTCTGCAGAAAAGTAGTATTTTTAAGTGTCGTGTTTTTTGTTGAATAGAGAGTGATAACTAAAGAAAAGTTTAACTTAATTAATTAACAATTGCTTCACAGCAAACTAGACAAAATTTACTTCAAATGAAAGTAGAATTTGTGATTATTAGAACAATTTAAAAAGGACTATCGAGTGGCTAAACTAAACAGGCACGGATGGCTAGTCGGCAATCGCTTAGGGAACGAGAAAAGGAACGAACATATAGGTATCAATAGAAAAGCAGTAACGATATATGAGGATAAGCTTTGCTACTGCCAGACTCTCTGATACAAAAATAAGGTTCATCCACTAGTATTCTCACTGACATAAGAATGCGGTCATTCACTGGAGAAATAATTACTGCATCCAATGCTATGCCGGCGCGAGGTCAGATAGTATGGCTTACAATGACAGTGGATCACACATTACCCGGTACCCTTAACTAATGAATCTTTTCCTGAGGCCGTAAAACATCTAGTTCCCCCTGTGCGGTCCTCCTTCCAATTTGATAGATTAGAGTAACTAGATATCGATGCCGTATTGATGATCATAGTCCACGAAAAAAATAATAATATATAGCTTCAATCGATTGCCTTTCAACCGGTTGATGTCTTTAATTAAAGTCTGTTGTAGAGTTATGTATCTGTAGGCATTAAAAACGCCGCAAACTTTGACGGGGTAATGCAGGTTTGAGAAGCTGCAAGCAAAATACTCAGTCTCCGTCCGGATCAACCTCGAAACAAATATTTAGTGACAAGTATATGTTTTACGACTCCGTGGACAGGAACTGTTTTCAGAAGATTATGAGTGAGGTTCTGGGTGTTCCCAGAAAATTAGTGAGGTTGACGAAGACGTGTATAAAAAATCCTAAATTCAGAGTACGAATGCAAGGAGAAGTATCCGAAACCTTTGAATTTGAGACTGGGAGCTGGACACTCGCCAATGCTGTTAAATTTTGTCCTTGAGAAAGTACTAAGAACTACATCGCGCGAAGATGGAGGGATGCAGTTGGAATGAAACATAAAATCCTAGCATATGCGGATGATATAGCTGTCCTCGAAAGAAATAAAGAGAATATTGAGAGACTCACTCCGACGCTATTAAGAGGAGCACAGCAAATCGGACTGCAAGTCAATGTAGATAAAACAAAATATATGATAGCCGAAAAAAATCACTCTAACAGCATGATCTTCCTCTTAATTTAAATCTCTTAAGTCATTCCCAAAAATAAATAGATTCAAATACCTTAGCTCCACAATAACCTCATTAAATGATCAACTAACAGAGATAGACCAGCGAATAACAAGTGCAAACAGAGCTTTTATCTCTCTTTCAAGGGTACTGAAATCCAGAAATCTCAAACTAAGAGTGTACAACGTCGTGATAAAGTGAGTTATGCTGTACGGCTGTGAAACCTGGGCTCTGGCCGGTACTCTAGAAAGCAGAATTGAGATAACAGGACCTATCCAGGATCAGAACCTAAACACATGCAGGAGAAAGAACAATAAAGAACTGCTAAAAGAAACTGGTCAGTTAATATCTCATGATATGAAGGCAAGGAGGTTAAAATGGTCGTTTACAACAATCAATCAATGCCAGAGTAGTAGGCAAGAGACCACTTGGAAGGCTTAAAACCAGATGGATAGATAGGATAATCAAAGATACGGCTGTGCTTCATACCGCAAACTGGAAAGTAGTAGTCCAAGATAGGTAGAAGATATGGTTTACGATAAAAAGAATCGGACAAGATGCTAGTAAACCTCACAGAATTAGTTAGTTTAACTGTCAGAATCAGTTACTTCACTAAATTGTGTCTCATTCTTCCCCTCTCACCCCATGTGTATGCCATTATAAATAGTGTATTAGTCAGTGGTGACGACAAGAAACTTTTAAACAAAAATGGTACTAGGAAAAGGAAGGAAATCTTCCTAAAGACTAAATCTTTAGAAGTCGTGCACATAAAATGCTTAAATATATAAAGAAAGTGATTTCCAGGTATTAAAATTTAATCTCCAGTCCCCTTCTAAATAAGGGGGCCTCACTTCAGACTCTAGCCGATGGCCGCCGATGAAGGCAGATCGAGTCTGAAATTAAGGTAAGTTCTGTTATTATAAAAAAAAATATTAATTAAAAAAAAACAATTATTTTTTAAGCGAATAGATGAATCATTTCTTAAGTTGTATGGCTCAAATTATAATGTGAGATCTTCTGAATGATTGGAAACAATGCTAGGACAACCATCACCAACCCGTTGTAAGTGTAACCATAATTTCCAATATTCTTGTAACCTCACCTCAATCAATCATTCTTTTAATTGTAAATGTTTTGAAACAACATAAGACTATGGATCTTCTATGAGAACCAGCTCTTCAGATGTGACCTTTAGCAGTTATATCAAATTTGAGGAAATTCAGCGTAGATTAAAACTAGAAAGGTAAATCACGTAAATATTCGGAAAGGCTTTAACTCTACACACTGGTAGCAGAGATTTTATGTTTGTCATTAATTTTAACCTTTTTCACTGTCCTAATTCGATACTACTATACCAAGTTTAAAAATATTCGTAGGGGTTGATTTCCCTATCAATCTACTTAGATATTAAATTAGAGCTGGAAGTACATTCCATTAAGGTGGATAGAATTTTCCAATTTCTGTAGTCGCGTTTTTTTCTTAATTCAAGTACTTTTTTATTTTAACATTTCTTCGGCATCATGTTTAAGTAACGAATATTAACCTGCCCAAAGTTGCACATTCATTCCTTTAACATGGTGCCGACGATTTCTAGAATTCAAAATGTTAACAGTTTATTTTCATAACATATGGTCACAGGTTATAATTTCAAATCAATTAATATTCCGAGATACTTAAACTATAATAAAACAATTTTTCAGCATTTTGTGCTCAAATCGTTTCAAAACATTCTCAGGATCAAACAGCCATTTTTCAAATTTCAGCCATCAAAGTTAAAAATTGTGTGGTTCCTAATCACTGGTCATCGTCACTTTCTTATTTAAAGGGTCTTTTACACTGTCGATATGAAATATATTGACCGTCTCAGGGATATACTGTAACAATTATGTCGATATATAACACATTTAATAATATTGCTTCACTAATGTGGACGTATAAGGTGGGCTTTTGACATTCACAACTTGTGATGGCTGATTCTGTTCAGCTTGCAACCGCAATACCCGAAGGCTGGTTCCTACCTTTTGCAGTTTTTGGACTTTTTCTTTGCTAGGTCTGAAGGTTAGATCTCTATTAAGGCTTTAGTTCTCTATCCCTTATAAAGGCTAATTCTCTGACCTTCTTAAACCTATTGCAATATGAGAACACGCAGTATCGAGATATATTGACCGTCTTTCAACTCTTAATACAGAGGCAGTATTAAAAACTTTCATAAGCTGACCTTAAAATCAACAAATATATGCTAGATTTGATCTGAATTCTTATCTCGATCTAGTATTGTAAGCATGAAGTTTATGTGATCTTTCAATTATATTTTACCAGAGCGCTATTAAGATAAGACTCGTTTATTCGATATTATATATATGAGAATACCCTTTTAGAAAAGAGGTACTTCAGTAAGTGTTATTCAATTGAGAAAGCTTCCCTTCTGGTAAACGGGACAAAACAGTGTCTTAATCCAAGCTTATGTGGAACTATTTCGTTGATCTAATTCATAACGAAATATTTAATAATAAAAAATCAGTCTGATTCAATTGATTACAATTTTAATAATATGTAAACTAGTTAGTATTGCTAAGTTGTTGAAAAATCAATTCCTTGTTCTCTGCTAAATTGAACACGAAATTAGTGAATGATCTGTTTAATTGAGTGTTTAAAAGTTTTCTTTGATGTAATGTGATGTATTCAAAAACTCACAAGAGCACTGTTCGTCTTTTATACAAGACTATATTAAGATTACATCGTGGATTACCTGAAGAACTAAGATTATTAGGAACACTTTATGTTAGAGATGAATTTCGGCGTCACAAAAACTGTGATGAACAAACGGCTGCTGTTTTTATTACTCAATGGGCTGTAAGGGTTCCACTACTCTTTTCTATTTATCTCGTGTTTTAATTTGGATAGCCACTTCTTTACAGATCTGCTAATAGTTTTTTTTTTTTAAGCCAGCTTTTATACTGAGTAGATGTTTCATAGATCAGAAAGAAAATAAAAACAAATAATCCTCCTTAGTACTCTCCTCAGTGGCCTGGATTAAATCTCCATTAACTTTTTCAAATTTACTTTTGATTACAAAAATCATTACTTCTTACACCATTTACATACTGCCGATTAGTGAATGGAGTAATTAGTATGAAACGAGAATTTCAGATATTTGTAAAACTAATCGTGTCACTCAAGTTGATCGATTTTAATTGTTTGAATAAAAACGTTTGTCATTTTTTATAGAATTCATCAAAACTACCCTAAGTGAAAAGTTTTATTTGCATTTTATGTTATGAAAATTTCAAATTTATAACTTTCGATTCTGTTATAGGAATATGCATCTCTCTTGACAAAACAAATCAGTGTAAAAGGCCTAGTACATTCGTCAAAACTTGGAAGACCAATAGACGAGTCTATATTAAATATGATGAGAGAAGAGCAAATAGCTCAGCTTTATGAGTTAATGAAAGCTGCTACATTTAAAGAATAAGGACAATTGTTTTAATTCATAGAAAGGTTGATTTATCTAGTAAGATTTTTTTTATAGGACTTTTTAAAAAATATTTCACTGAAATTGTACATAAAATATAAACTTATTTATTTTATTTTATTCGATATTTCCTTTCATCTCAATATTGTTGTTATCATCACTAGTTATCCTTCAATATTCGTAACTGTTCAGGGAATCCATTAGGTCTGACACAACAGTGCAAGTGTCACTCCACAATTGTCAAGTGGGCCAAGATCTCCTAATTTCTCTTGATCACACTTAAGTGGGATTGATCAAGTATGTCAAAAAGTATACAAGGTGACCAAACTATTTGTTAAGGCTCTGAACTCAACTGAAAAGCACCAGTTAGAGGTTTTTTTATCCATTTTGGGTGAGCAGGAGTCAAAATCAGCAAACAGTGATGGAATTGAGGTCCCAATTTTAACCGTAAAGACCAGTGGGGAGTTTGCAGTAGTCATATATTCCGATATAAATAAAGGGAGATTATACCATCAATCCTCAGCCATTCCCAGAATGCTATTTACAAGGTGATGATGAGAGCTTAGCCCACTTGAGACATCCTGTTATACAAGTATATATCCACGTAAGAAGCATGTTATGAAATATAAGTATTGGCTGTCGGAAAATATTTCATTTCAGTATTTAATGTTATGATAAAAATTAAAACTATGTTTAAATGAAATACTTCTTATTTGACTTATTTTGTCTTCCTATTTTAATCTCTGCCCTGAAGTTGAACTTAGCAGGATCTGAATTCATAACAAATATGAAAAGTAAACGTTTTTGAAGTTAGAAAATCCTTCTCTTTGGGCCAAAAGCATATCTATTGTTGTACAATTGATTTTTTACAATAAAAAAGGTTCTGAATATTTCTTTAAGCAAAATTATTATGATTCCAAATTTAAGTGGACAATTTAATATAATAGGAAAATATATGTACATTGATGGATTGCCTTTAGTTCTATTTAGTCTCATTAGTTGTGCACAGCTCATGACATTGAAATCTGTAATGAAAAATCATAAAATCTATAATAATAATCACACGACTTTCACTTACTACCATATTAGCAGAAATAAGTATTTTTAGATCAAGGGGAAGTGAAAGTAAAAATTATTGACCCTATATTTATTTATAATTCATTGTGGTTATTTTTATTTGTTTAAATACACTTATATATACAAATTTTAATTTTTATATTGCTATATTCTATACAATTAAATATTAAATAATACCGACGATAGCATTTATGAAAACCGCATATGTATATGAACATAATATTGTTGGAGTCCATATTATATGAAGCTCATATTTTGTATGGAAGCCTGTTGTAATCTTTCGGGTAAGCTCCTCCTATTCCTTAGATTCCTCTATTACAGCTATTATCCATTACGATCAAATTCTTACATATTTTATATTAACAGGAAGCAAATATTGAAAATTAGCCATTTAAGCCCTGATAGAGAACATCAATAAGAATAAAACCTACATTATATTAAAACTGCTTAATAATACACTTATATACTAAGCTTAATCAAAATCGTTAGAGCTGTTTTTTGAGAAAATTATAAAAATATGTTAAATAAATTATATAAAATACCACTTCCGGTGTGCCGAAAATGTTGCTGTAACATCGGAAGCTTATAAAAACCTTAAATATGCAATTTCACTTTTATATGACTTTTCGTTAAGACTTATTACATCCATACACACACACAGCCCATCTTACAGGACTTAACTCGAAAATTTTCATGATCGCAATACTTACCCTTACTATATATTGCATATATAAGTAAGTGAAAGTAAAAATGGTATAACATCAGTTTTTTAAATAAAGTCTGTAGCTTAAAAATAAAGTTATCTCAGACCCTAAGTTAATCACGTTGTAAAGATAGAGTGTTGAATATAGTTTTATTTCTATTAACAATTCCAGAATTGAAAATAACTATTCGAAAGCTCACATTTACTTCTCTTATTCCTATTTATTTTTTTAATATAAAACACTGCATACCACAAATTGTTTAAACAACCTAATCCAATTTTAATTCAACTGCCTCTTATGTAGATTGAACTCAATATAATAGTTAAAAGCAGAACATATTAAAGCATACTGAAGTATTTACTGCAGGAGAAAATTAATAATACACTAATTACACCATCTTAACTTTTATTTTAAAAAATTTACATAAATCTTTATATATATATATATCACAATTTATGAGATGAAGGAAGATATTTTAATAAACTGTACAAACTTAAAACTTTTTCACTACAAATCATACGACTAGAAAAGTGCCATATTCTAAGGTTTCTATTTTTATAATAAAAAATATGCTCTTTAAAACTGAAATTCATCACAGCAGCCTTTAGGCAAATATACATATTATAATGTCCTCCCAAGAAGTACTGAATACTAGATAATTAAATGGAATGAACTTAACACTAATTAATAAAAATTTATATATTTAAAATATTCCGTAAGATACTTAATATTAGCTAGTTAATAAAGAATGTATATTTTAATAAAAGGCACTTTAATATAAACTTAAAAATAAGCAAATTTAATTTGAGTCCCATAAAACAAATATATAAAATGTGGGGTCAAAAATAGTTTTAATAAGTAAATTCCTATTTAATAAATACTACATACATATTATGTAAAGAATGACAAAATATAGCTCATTCGACATTTCAGTACAATACAGATATGTTACACTGTATAACTATTACGTAAAACTATAATAACATAATAAAATGATACATTTTAATTGAAAATCAAACCTATTTTTTACAGCTGTAATTACTGTAATTGACTATGTGAATATACCAATAAATACTTATGTATATGTTCAGCAAATTAAATAGATGTGATTCTTAACTTAATTAAAAACAATTTTAAAGATAATGCCAAATACAAGATATAAATAAATAATAAGAGCATAAAAAAATAAGAGGCTTGGTCATTATTAGAATTGATTCAATAACAAATGATTCAGGATTGAGAATCAGATTATAATTGTGAATAATGCTCCAGAAAACGTCCATATTAATCAATAATATTCATAATTTATTAACAAGTATGTATTGTTAATATAAAAACATTTACTTATCTATAAAACATTGGGAATATATCATTTGATTTAAGTGATGATTCTATTATCTAAAATAAAATTTGACCAAGCCTGCTAGCTACATTATATTAAATTAAAATTCTCTCCCACTCTGTAATAGAAGGTTCTCCCCCTTCATAGGAGAGAGTTTATATATATATAAACTATATATATATAAGGGTTTCCTATATATATATATATATATATATGTGAATCCAATTTCTCTATTAAAAATAAATGATGATTAAAAGACTATTTCACATAATAATACTAAAACAAAAAAGGAATATTTTTATGAATATAGACATAACTTGAAAATATTACTTTGTTTCTATTATTTTATTCCACATGATAAAAAAAAAAAAAAAAAAAAAAAAAAAAAAGAGCTGAAATAAAATACTAAAATTGATCTTGACTTAATAAAGATCAAGTTATGACAAAAAAAAAAAAAAGCAAAAATTGATCAAAAACATATTTTTACTGTATTTGATGAAGATGGAAAAAAAGTTTTTTATTTTAAACTAAAAAACAAAATAATAAAATCCTGTCAATTCAGGGTATAAAATATGTTAAAATTAATTGTATAATAAAAAAAAAACAGACTGAATTCTTACCTAGAAACCCACAACTAAGATGCACTCATAAGTACAAACATATAATAAAAATAAATATTTTCTTGTACAATAAACCTTAATAATAATAATAACAGTAGTGTAAAAAATAAAGATTATTTGTCATGTTGGTGAGGTTTCTCTGATAGGGGTGACAATATGTTTGAAAACTGTCATATCAACTTCTGATGGTTTCCTTTCAGGCCTCTTTTCTACAACCTCATTTGCCTCTGTACCTTTCTCTACTCGAACCACTTTCTGAACCTTTAGTAGTGAACATAACTGTGGAAATAATGATAATTTAAAAAAAAAAATTCGCTCTTTAGACATTTTCAGATTAAAAACTGACAAATAAGTAAGGCAAAGATCAAAGATTGTCATTGTATTCACAATTTAAATTAATGCTTAATGGTGAATATTGAAAGAATTTTAAATTATATTAAATTCTCACAGTATGAAATTAAAAGAATAAACAACTGTAGTGTTATATTAAATAGTCTAATATTAAGAGTGTTATCACAAGGTGTTTAGTGTGTAAGTAACGAAATATTAAATAATTTTAAGAAATGGATTATATATATACATATATAAATGTAGTAATGTTAATAAAATTTATCACAAATAATTCCTACCTCGTGTATTCCAGTAAGGGCCTGCTGAGCTTCAATGTGGTTTGGAGACACAGCATCTTCGAGAACACTATGGTACTGGCTTAGTTTGAGGCGGCAAAGTGACATCACAGTGTATGCATTCAATAATTCATTCATAAGAGTGTCCTAACAAAGCCAACAATTTTTATTATAAACTGCAATAACATATATACAAAATAAAATATGATTTAAAATAGCTCACGTTAGTTTTGAAGCCATCAACAATTTCACTGTTACTGAAATGGGTTGATTGAACGCGTTCTGGTACAGTGAATCCAAGGGTTTCCTCACTTACGGCTTTCTGATTCCTATAGAAAAGAATTTCTCCCTTCAATCATGCAATGAAAAACTTAAAAACAATTTAACAATTATTATATTTTTTATTCTGAAGTCCATATTTAACGTTGGATGATAAAGAAGTCTAAAACACTGGACCAGATAATGAGTATACATAAAAATGATTTATGAAGAGAAGGATGGTTGGGCTGATCAGTCAGAAATAAAAAGGCAAATATAAATAATAATATTTATTTTAACATTTGCCATTTTATTTATTATTTATTTTTGCCTTTTTATTTCTGACTGATCATCCCAACCATCCATTCTCTTCATTATTCACGATAGTCAACCATCAACCCACAATTAAAAATGATTTATCTGTCCCAACTAGACAGCTCTCACTACATGTTACAGACAAAAAAAGTTTAAAAGTAACAATTCTCCATCAAATCAATCTACTGAGTTAGTTCCGTATGTGCATTTATAATAATTTATAAATAAAGATAATTCATCGTTATTGACATAAAAAAATATAAATAAAATATTAAAATAGATAGTTGACTGCGGTTAAATATCCAGGAAATGATTGTCACAATATATCACAATAGCATTACATTATTTAATGTTTACAGCCTTTACGACCCATCATTAATAAGGTAATAATATTTTGACCAGAAACACGACTTCAAATTGAAGTAAAAACAAGAACTGAAGATTAATGAGAAAACATAACTGCTTGTATGGGCAGTGACCCCCAGGTAACAATGTTTCTCCAAAAAACATTGAAAAGATCATGATTAGAGGATTAAGATTAATTAAAACGCTTCACTGTTAAACGATTTCATCTAAATGCAATGCAAATGAAATTCTCATAAAATTCTGAAAATACAAGATACTATTTATAAATTTCAACTAGATATAACATTTATATTTATTTCAGATAAAACATTTTTATTTATTTATTTTCCACCCTCCCATGACAATAAGAGTTTATAGAGTAGTGAGATGTAAAACATGTATGCAACTAGGTAGATCATTCACAAATCATCTCAACTTTAATTAGTTAATAATCAATTTTATGACTAAAATATTTACTTAGATACAATCAATCTATCAGATCATGAATTCAATATTCAATATACTCAAGGTATTTAATACTTCCTGGAACCACTGCTGAATCAATAATAAATAACAGACTAACATATAGGAGAGAGAATAATGTAAAATATTATTTTATAGAATTGGAGAAAGATGCATTCAGAGTTAGATGGATATTTCAATCCAGCTTTATACATTAAAAACACATATATTGTAACTAAGTAAAGCATAAATATCAACAAAATGAAAATTATAATTCAATGTATATTAATCGACAAAATGTTTAATGAAACATAAATATATACTTTAACTTATAATTCTCATTTGGTTTAGAATGTAAACCTTAAGCGAGAAAAATGGGAGAGTACTTGAATATTAAAATATCAAACATTTCATATCCGAATTATTTACTGTGACAAATATAAGAATTTCTTAAGCTTTACAGGAAATCTAAATAAATCATCTTCATCAATACCAACTTTCATGAGCAATAAGTTTTTCTATTTCTAAGAATTATTAGCAAATAGTTTTAGAACAATCAACAGCGGTCTACTCGTGTTATCACTTAGAGCTAGTGTTACACAACATACCTTCTTAATGTTACCTGTTTCCTCCGATGGTAATGGACCCTATCATTCTTCTCATCTGTGCTAACCAACACTTTAGGAGGAATTATTTTGGGTGGTGGGCTGAATTTCTGTAAATAATTATATTTAAAAATAAAATTTTGATAAAACTGAAGCTGCTAAATAAACATTATCTTGAATTTAAATATATTGAACATACCTATGAAAGCCATGGGACATACCAAGTATGTCAGCCAATAAATGGCGAACATTGGTCAACTACACAAAATATCTAACATCCTTCTCTTTACTTTCACATAACTAGATATGTAATATATAGTAAGGGAAAGTATTGCGATCGTGAAAATTTTCGAATCTGAGTTTTCAATGGGAATACAAGTTTTGAGGGCCCTGAATCTGAATAACCAAGTCCTGCAAAATGGTCTGTGAACAGTCTAGCTCAAAAACGAAAAGTAATACAAAACTAATATTACGTATTTATAAGACAGGTATATGACTTAGATGTTGCAGCAACTTTTCCCTTAAAATAGGCTAACCGGAAGTGCCACTTTATATCAACGCTGAACCACATTTTTACAATATCCTCAAAAACGGCTCCAACGATTTTGATTAAAATCGGTGTATCATTGTATAATTAAGTGGTCTTTAATATCATTGAGGTCTTATTCCCATTGATGTCACTTTAATGGGCTCAACTGCTTAAATAATAATCATGTCTTCCTCTAAAGTACCTTTAATTTGGTTTATTTTAAATAATTAAGTATCTCTCATTATTAAGAGTTACAAAAAAATGTTAAATATAACTTTTGAAAGAATTTGATAATTGAAAAAATGGAGAGAAAAGGAAAAATATTTATTTAGGTCGAAAATGAATTTCCGGAAATGCTAGTCAGAATGTATACGTATAATCTATCATTGAAATTACATATAAATTAAATTAGTGAATAACTTTTCCTTAGTGAAATCCAAACATCATCCACTTAAAATTAGTGTAAAGACTTTTGACCTGTCTATGACAGGCAAAGAAAATCTCATAATTTCTTTGTAGTAAATTTTACAATGGAAAATAAAACAGTTTAATAACTAATAGGCATACAATCCATTATCATTTATGGGTTGAATATAGAAATATACTTTCAAATCTCTCTAGGCACATATATATTGCTCAGTGATTGGAGTTATGTGGTTTACAAAAACAGATGGAGTACCGAGATTTTTATTGTCTACCGCTTATGTATATAACAGGGTTATTGTTATTTTAATGATCTTAATGATTTGTTAGCTGTGAACTTTAATTAAGCTATAGCTCTGTTAAAAGTGCATCTCAAAAATTTAAAATTGCTCAACATTGCCAGAAAATAATTTCTATTCAAAGTAGAAAAGTATGTGAAATTTGTCTATTGCGCGCACCAGGTTTCTTTATTTTTAACTTGGGCACCTTAACTACTGATTATTTATTAAAGAAGTTGTTCAATAATACTTAGGAAACTAAATGATCCCGAAGCAAAAATTTTATACATCAACATAGGAGACTTAATTTAATTAACTTATCTTCTCCACTTTCTATTTACTATTATAAACCTTTCAGACTACATTTACAATGAATGCTAATAGAGAGAGGTGTTACAGACAGATGTTTTTAAGTTGTTTTCTTTGTTTTGTTTATTAAACAGAGACCTCTAGTGTATTACCACTGAAATGTTATATAGATTGCATATAAAGGCTCTAGGACAAGGCTTAACTGTAAAAAGAGCAAGCTGTGTGCATAACTAAGGAAGAAAAATTTAAATTGTTTTTAAAACACAGCAGTGGACGGGAGCATTTTCTCCAGTTAATGGTCAGGTAGAACTAGTAATAATAGACTGTGTGTACAGGTCAAAGGAGATCATAGATCAAATCTATTTCTTGTTGTGAATAAGAAAACCATATGGTGAAAACAAAGAAGGTTATGAATGGCTCAAGATTTAATAACTTACAGAATTTATCTACAATAAACCACTTGTCCATTATATATGTTTCTGTGCTTTAGTTCACATATTTCAGTTAACCGTTACAGAGGACACTACGTAAGTTCTACTTTTTATTACTAAAACAATGTTTGTCTTGCGGAAACCTCTCATTTTACAAGGTCTGTTTTCTCCTCTTTTTTCTTTTTCCCGTTAATTTATCTTCCATATCTACACCTCTAATTTGTGTCTATTGACACATTTGCTCGTTAGATCATATTTACATTATTTAAATTTTTTATTCTCTTATACATAGTCAGTATGTTTTAATAGATTTCAGTATCTCAATTTTTCTATTTACATCTATTATTTTCTTTATATAACTTCATATTCCTTTTCTCTGTTTTACATTTTATTCTATGATTAGCTCACTTTCTTTTAGCATACTATTATATCATATTTTAGCAACTATGTCACTCCATTTATTTTCTGACTACACTTACATTTTTTTTTTTTATCTTATACATTCATTTATTATATTTCGCTGTTAATTCATTTTTCATTTCTTATGTTACCTTATTTTGATTATGTTTATTTCATTAGCCCCTACTTTGCTGCTTTTATTATTTATTTCATAGTTCTATAATACTGTTATTTTTTATTCATAATTTCCTAACTCTGTTACCGTTATGTTATATACCCTACCTTTGCTTCCGCTATTTTCCACCCTTAACTTTGGTACCATTAATTTATATTTCCTTTCAATTTATTTTACTTTAAGACTATATCTTTCACCTACATATTATTTTTTCTTTTTAATTTTTCAATGTTAATAGATTCTCACACCTATTGTTATCTGTTTTTTTTTTTTTTTGTAGCCTTGATGAAGGCCTGAACTTTGAGCCGAAACATCGGCAAACATAAAAAATAAACATTCTTATTTCTTTTTTTGACTGATCACCCCAACCATCCTTCTCTTCAATTATTCACTACAGTCGACCATCAACCCACAATAAAGAAGATCATGATATTGTCAGAAATAAATACAGAAAATAAGGAGAAAAAAAGAAATGTGCAGACTGGTACAAAGCTCCATTTATTATTGTAAATCACAGTCTACTTCCCTTTTATTGTTCCCACAGTATTATAACTTAAAATTATGACAAAAAACACTAATAACTAGTACTAAAAGAAATGATGTCAAATGGTTCTGATTAATAGCAGCAAAACCTGGAAAGCCACAGAGAGCATCATCTGCCCCATACCTTCGTTAACCAATGCCTACATAGAATATTCAAAATTTGGTGGTCAGAAGACATATAGAATCACAGACTATGGCAAGCTATCAAAGAGTTACCAATCCATTTTGAAATAAAGAAGCAACAATTGAAATGGTTAAGGTACACTCTGGGGGAAAAAAAATGAAACTATAAAAAAACACCCTAACAATGGATCCCTCAAGGAAAAAGGAGGAAAGGCGGACTAACAGAGACGTGGCCCAGGTACATAGAGAAGCAATGAGTACAAGTTGGTAAATCATAGAATGAGGCAAGGAAGATTGATTCTGATCAAAACGAATGAAAAACGCTCATGGATGCCCTATACTCTGATGGGGTTCAATGGCATTAATAATAATAATGAAAAAATAGTAATAATTGGTCAAAATGAAAATTAACTCACTGATGGAGCTTTAAGATACAGAGCGTAGTCTATGATGATAGAAATATCCATTGAACCAGGATAACGCATTAGTTGTGTAAGACATTTTGTATAGTCTGATTTCAATACTGTAACAGAGAACAAGAAATAACACGGGATGAATGAGAGAAGCAAACAAAGGATAATTGAATATTTAAATTAAATTTGTATTAAAAAATCACAACTTTCTTAAAAAAGGTTTAAACGGTCATTCAAAAAGTTAAATGTAAACATTTATATTAATAAAATAAAAAGTATTTTGTACAAAACTTGGATTGAGCATATATAACATCTCATTCACCTATTGTAACAATAAACAACAATTTTATTTTGTTTTATTTAATCAATAATAGACATGAATAATATTCAGTCATACTTACAAGTAGATCGTATAGCAACCAGCATTGATACCACTATGTAGTTGACAAGATCAAAACTAGAACTGTCAGCGAATATTGCATCCCATAGTACAAGAAGGTCCTGGAGAGGAAATTCTCTCCCAAAGAGTAGCCGCAACCATCGTCTGATAAATAAATTATATAAGATTCAAAGTATGCTGAAGAAAAGAATCAAGTAGACACAGTGGCGATACTATTATGAAGGAACTTCTTCTGTTTTTTTAAAATATTTTTTATGTCCCATTCAACATCAAACAAATAAAAACGTCCAACATGTTGCAAAATTATTTTATTAAAAAGGAAATATAACTGTAAGAAAAATTTCCCATGAAGATAGGCTAAGAGTCTGAAACGTCGACAATAGAACATAAAAAATAAGATGTTACATAAAAAACAGAAGAATTCTCTTCATTAAAAAAAAAATATATATATATATTTAGACAACTTTTTCTCGTCAAATAAAAGTGGATAAATAATAATACCATAAAATAAATAAAGATTCTCATAAAAGTATATCGCAGTGCATGAAATAATATATAGAAATATTTAAAAATTTATAGCATATAAAAATGGATCATATTTTACAAAATGCAGTGAGTTCGCACGTGTTCATTGAAAACTGGTTATTTGTAACATTTATTTTTAATTTACTTTCATCCGTCAGAGAGTTGAGTTCTGGTTGATCATTATGAATGTGATCACTGAGACAAAAGATCGTCAGCGAATCACTTCTTCAGGAAGAAGGTTTTTATCAATGTCAAGATTACAATCTTTTGTTAAGTAAGTTTTTGTTTCTGCTAAAAACAAGGCCTCTGGTAAGGATTCTATTTTAAAATAATGATTTAAACGGTTAAATTTAGTGGTTATTTTTAATAAAAACTGTCTGAAAAAATAAGATGTGCCCAGAGGCCAACGAACATAATAAGAATAAATGTATACACTTATTCAAGGAAGCTATTAAAAAAATACATTACAATAAATTTAAAACATAACATACATGCCAAACAATTGAAGAGGAATGTCCAATTGCTCCAGATGCTGGAATAGCTGAGGATCATTAGGAGCTAGAAGTACCTCTTTAATCCAATTAAGTTGAGCAACAACTTGATTCTCTGTATTGTTCATCTAAGGTAAATAAAAATTAAAACAATTAAATTAAAATGTAATGAAAGTGTTGTACATTATGAATCAGAAACATTTCTTCATAACACTTCACTAAATGACAGATAAATTAAGTTAAAATTCATAAACAATCAATATAAATTAAATAAATTGTGAACTCAAATATTTCATATACCCCTTACAAGTGAAATAATTTTGAAACTTCCGTGATATTGACAGAGTTTCAATAAAAACAAAAGCTAATTTTATTGGCATAAATATTATTGATGCGATAAACTCATCTGGCAATCAATAAATTAACGAAATTTAATAATGACTAAATAATATTTAATGTGTAAGGAAGGATTAACCAAAGGATAAAAACTTCATATTTTATAATTATTAACAGAAATTAAGATTTAAATAATACTACAGTTACTCACAACACTGATATAATGATTAATTGGTATTCTTTGCTTAACGATTAATAGTGAAAAATTATTAAGAATATTATAACATTTAACTCTCTGTTCCAAAATATTCAAAACCAGCCTCAACATTATAACAAAAAAAAATTGAATTAAAAAATAAATCTGGTGCTTAATGCCTAACACACAACTTCCACTTACCAAACTTCTAGTAGCAGAAGTAGGTATTTTCAGGGAATTAAATTTAATTAAAATGTGTAGTCTCATTTGAAAATGAAATGGTTACATTGAACGTGTAGCCAAAATCTTATTTTTCCATCATGGAGACTCCTAATTTTACAATTAATTAAATTCACAGTCATTAGATCTGAATTGTATTGAACTGATATATATGGATTAAAAATGCAAAAATATTACATAAAAGACAACTTAAAGTTTAAAGTTACATGAATATAAATAGTTGAGTTGAATTACTGTTGTTTTCATGTTGGCAGGAAAATATCCAGTCGAAGTAGGTGCCATATTTGGAATCAGATATGAACCTTCAATAGCATTCATGATTCTTCTGAACAAAGTACTGCAAAACAAGAACAAAAATGTAAAACCATTCTAATGCACCAATATTTTAAAAAATAAACTCAGCTGTTATTTAGAGACAGTTGCAAGATCAGAGTTAAGCATAATTTTAGTATAAACTCTCCAGGTAGGCAACGGACTGTACTAATAAAGTTAGCATTGAAATAAATAAACTTAACTCAATACTATTTTACTCTCAGACTTTATAGAGTATAGATTTTTTTAGTCTAAACATTAAATTTCCTGGAAAATGTACACCCAACTTAACCCTGCAACTGGCCCTGATTAAAATAAATACTCACTACGAGTCTGCTTCAAGGTACTTCGGGTCCAAAACAGTCACAATCTCGGGGCTATAAAGACGTGAAAACAAACTTCAGCAAAAACTTAAAATAATACAATCTTAGAAAGCAAAAACAAATCAATGTGAAAAAAAAAAATGTATTCAAAATTAATGTAAATACTGTGATATAATCATCAGACAAAAACATTTAAAACAAAATTCATCTAAAATATTCAGGCCTAGTATTAGTAAGAAAAAAATTATTTGCCACCAGGAAAATATAAAAACAAATCTTGATATCAAAAATTCATCTTGTATAAAAGTATATAAAAAATATGTAAAGATGAAATATGAAGACAGAATATATTGATAGATTTGTTACAATAAAGTTTCTAAATTAAATTAATAATGAAAATTTTTATTTATGACGTAAAGATATGATTTAAAAAAAAAAAGCAATTCTTGGGTTGCATTTTCCAAGATCTAATTTAAATAATTAACATCATCAAAAATGACAATTACCTTACTTCAGACTGCTCCTGAGTGTGAAGCAGTGCCTGCTGATCACAATGGACTACAAACACTACAGGAGCAAGCACTTCATGCATACCCTAACAGAAATGTTCATAATAAAGCACTCTTAATTATCATCTTCATACACAGGTTAAATGACAAAAATATTTTGTCCATGATACACATTTTAATTATGTCAAACTAAATTCTCATTTTGTTTATTTCATTTTAAATATTGTTATTATATAATGAAAACTATATTTAAGCTTTGTGGGCCATTTAAAATAAAATAATAAAAAATATAAATTAATTGGTAAAGAATTTTGTTTTAAGCCAATTATATTTAAATGCTAATAAAGTAGTAAATACAACCAAAAAAACAATAAAATTTTGTTATGTTATAGAAACTTGGATTTCAATTACCAAAAATTCATTGTTGGAAGTTGCACTTGTTTAATATATTTTTCATACATAAATATTTTACCTTTTGCTTCCTCACTACCGAAGGTAGGAAAGCATTGTATTTTTTTTTTTTTTTCGTGCTTTATAAACAGAAAAGTAACAGAATGAAAATGAAAACTGCCAGACCTATAAACAATTTATATTTTGGAACTGCAGCTAATTTGTTATTATGCTGTGTTAAATGATCAAAATAAGATTTGTAACTACACATTAACAAATACAATCAGGACCCTACATCCCGTAAAAAGCCTTGATAAAGATAAGTATCTCAATATCATAACTTAATAGTTACGTACAATAAGTAAACTATGTAATTTATCATAATATATAGTATATAACATAGAAATATATAATATAAAAATATATACCCTTTCATAAAAAAGGGTGTGATTTTATATTTCACAATAACTTAATAGTTTTAAACAATTAATACCAAAAAAAATCAACAACTGAAACGAATGGGAACAAACTAATTTATTTTTTAAAAAGCATTATTCATGAGGATAGATGAATAGTTATAAAAATTAATTTAATCTTGTATAAAGAATATGAAAATGTTTTAAACTTACTTGACGATAACACATGGCTGGGTACTCCCGGGCGTATGCAAATAATATGTTTATCATAATTTCTTGAACATTTTCTCCTCTGAAGAAATCTACCCCAGGAAATGTTCGTACTACATCTTGTTTAATGAGGGCCTGCAAATCCCGATCACAAAAAAACTGATGCCAGGTGCTCTACAGAACAAAATTAAATAAAATAACTAAAATATCTACCTAGTGTACCAAAGATTAAATCAAAGGATCACTGAATCAAAGCAATTTTTTTTTTCAAATACTATTGAAAAAACAGTACATCTTTTTCAAAGGAATAATAAAGGATATTCTCCAGGAATAAGTGAATACCTAACAATTTTTAAAAATGACTAAACTTTTAAATACTCTTAATTTTTCTTAAATATATAAGAAATTAACATTAAATAAATACTTAATATATTGATAGCCATACCACAAAAGCCTTCAGGAGATGAAAAAACTGCATATTTTTTGTTCTATGAGCATTATAGTTTTGGTCCAATTTTTTTTTTTCAGGCCTAAGACAAATATGTAATGCTCTATATAACTTTTTTTGATTGTATTTCTGCCAAATAATCTTTTAGAGCCATTATTTCTGACTTATAGCTTTTTAGTTATTTTGAAAAACGGGTATTAGTTAGATAAAAGCTCTATTTATGGGATACCATGTATAATAAATTACAAAAACCCATAGATGCTTCCAATTAAAGTAGATCTAGTAAATTTTTGTAATGAAAAAAAAAAAAAGATTCAGATTCGGTTTTAGCATCCACATTAACTCTTAAATATGATTTTGTTTAGAAATCAAAAAATATAAATTTTTGGACTTAATGTTATGGGAGGATTTTTTTTCATGCCGTCCGTATACTAAAATATTCACAACTCCTCAGGATTTTCTTCTAAGTCAACGTTACTACAGCAGTTGGAAAGCTAAATTATTGGTCTTCAAAACCATATCAATAACTTTTATATTTTATGCCTATATAAGTAATAAACGAAGAAAAACTGCCAAAACATTTTTATTTTTTATATCCAAGCCTAATTTATTTGCAGGCGTCTAGTTTGTACCATTTTATGTATATCATAGGACTCTAAATTTATGCTAATTTTCGTATGGAATAGTGGAGCCATTTTAATATTTTATGTTTGTCAATTTTAATGTCACATAGTATTAAAAATATTTATTGGCTTTTATAAATAAATATATTGTAAATCATCAACTATCTAATGTTTACCAAAACTTATGATCAAGAAGTCAACCAAAAAAATTTTTTGCAATTACAAAACTGATAAAATTTGAGATTTTATTATCATTATGATAATATAATATTATAATAATATTATTATTTTCTTAGTTTTTAAAAACTAATTAAAAATAACTTTTCAAGACTGTGGTAAGTGCAACAACTGTATAAAAACGATTACATTTAATATTTATCTTTTCTTCAGAACATAAAACATATTTATGAGTCTTTGAAATGATAAAAGTTGTGCATTAAATAAATGTAATAATAACAAGTTCTATTGTATGTCTTGCCAAAAGATCAACATCATTGATGATATAAAAAATTTGTTCATAAATAAAAATGTACCACAGGTGTTTAAATACCAAAAACTAAAGTTATATAAATATAATTTATAATTTTAAAGAAAATAGAAAATTAGACCTATTTACAATGAAATGAAATTTTCTTTAAAACGCCAAATGTTCTAGAATACCACTCACTTGTTCATCTTGAGATAATGGATTATCCGATTGTGGTTCAGCAGATCCTATAGGGGAAACTCTAAGCTTGGCTTTCAGGGTTGAGTAATGGTTACGGTCCGATTCCACTTGACTGAGCCAGGTGTCGGGTGAACCTGGAGTAAGGGCTCCAAGTAATAGCTTCCATACTACACTCCTGAATCTTGCAGCTCTCAAACCTCCCTCTAAAGCTTTTTTACGAAGATCACATAAATCAATGCCTTCCTTTAGTAGAGACCTCCATTCTTCCCTAAAAAGAAATACACCTAGCTTGAATACATATGATAGGAATCACACATATTTAAAATGTTTAGAACATATTAATCTGTAAGAACAACCACATAAAAAATATAAATACTCTTGAGAAAATATATACTTTAAAAAAAAAAAAAAAATAGCGCTCTTTTAGAATACTCATGTCCTGAAACATGCTAAGATTGGTATCAATAGTCAATACTTGTATATATATATATATATAGAGAGAGAGAGAGAGAGCGAGAGAGATCTTAAAGTATATCTGTATATTCAACCTATAAATTATTATGGATTGTACACTTATTAGTTATTAAACTGTTATTTTCCACGGTAAAGTTCACGAAAAAGAAATTACGAGATTTTCATTTCCTGCCTTAAATAGATCAAAATTTGTCACACTACGTACATCATTCACATTGTAAGTGGATAATGTTGGGATTTCAAAAGGGGAAATTCATCAAATTATTTATTAATTTAATTTTTTTTAAAGGTTACAGGGTTTTTTTTAGGATAAACAGGAGTCGATACCTAATGATTTAAATATAATATCAGATCTAGAATTATTAAAGTACAACAAATGTATTTAAAGTCATTACTTTATACATCAGTGGGTGGGGTGGCCGAATGGGCTAACGAGTGTGCACTGCACCGTCATTGCCCGGCAACCTGATACATGAGATTTGATTAAAAAAAATAGTCACGAGTTCGCGTCCCGGTGCCCGGAGGAGTTTTTAAATTCTCGCCCACACTCCCTGGCCCGGGAAAACCCTCGTATACCCTTTAAGGCGAGGAAGGGGAGGGCAGAGGAAAAAAAAAAAAAAAATACTTTATACATCCATGAAATATTTTTATATTCCACTTCTTCTTTCACACCAGTACAATGAAATAGTTTTTTAAACAATGTGATTGCCTTAATTCGGTGAATTTTAAATATTTTTTTCAAACTTAAAAAAAAATTTTAAAGTTTACATTTAGCATTTAGTCAGTAAATTTATTTTAATTTTTTGAAAACATTTGATTTCCTTTAAATAATATTAGTCTTCACAAATCATTATTTATAATTTGTCATCACTCTCCATTATCAACATAAATAAACATTGACCTTTTTTCTCCATTTTTCAACAATAAAATTCTTTTAAAAGTTATGTTTAGCATTTTTTCATAACTCCTAACAATGAAAGATAGATAATAATTTAAAATAAACCAAATTAAAGGCACTTTAGATGAAGAAATGTTGAACAATAGGCATTTATGCCCTGTAAAGTGACATCAATGAGGATAAGATATAAATGTATGTATATGTATATATGTGTATATATATATATATATATATATATATATATATATATATATATATAAATATATATATATATATATATATATATATATATATTTAAAATTAAATATCATAGAGTAATTATATTAAGGAAGAAAATGTACATTATAGTGATAATGAGCTGATTAATAGTTTTCCCCACAGGAAGGATGGCTTATCTTATCAAATAACAAACTGTATAAACATTAAAGTCAGCAACAATATTGATTGATGAATAACTGGTTCTTTCTTTTAACATTATAAATTAAAATTTCTTGCCTCACAAAAATACTACTGGATATCATATGATTTAGCTGGCTTAAAAATAGGTATACTACTGGCAATACACAGCTTCAGCACAAGTCCAATTTTTTGATGCATTGGTAAACATTTTTAACTAGCAATAATCGCACCTTAGTAAACCATCAGTGGTAGCGATATTACATCTCTGGGATGTTTGTCTATCATTTTGTAATCTGCTATTAATTTGTGCGATAAGTATCTCATCTAGCTTGTATACTCATAATTTATATAAGATCAAAACAAATTAAGATGTTTAAATATATCATGTCAGATTCTAATGTAAACCAATACTGTGCTAGTCGACCACATCAACTCAGCCAAATTATAATATTATTTAAACCTGCATAATTCTGTTTTGAAAAATTATGCTATCCACTTCGTTTAAATAAACAGCACTCCAAAATTATTTGTAGTAAAATATGACGACTAAAAAAACTAGAGCCATGAAATGACATCATATAAATAATTGTACACATGTATAAATAAGACCAATCAACTTCAGAAAATGAAAAAACAACAAAGAAATAAGAGGAATGTCCAAAACTTACTCATATTGTAAAGGTGGTTGTCTCCCTTTGGGGCTTCCCATAGTGTCACCATTCAATACTAGTGCTTCTTGAGCAATATCAACTGGCACATCATCTACATAAAATAAATAGTCTTACTCAAAAAAAAAAAAAAAAGAACAGCAGATTTTAAATCATTGAGACATTATCCACCTATTGTTTACAAAATAGTCATAAGAAACCAGCAAAATGCGCCTAATACAATGAAAAATAACAACACAACTTTCACAATGAAGAAAATAATTAAAATTTTAAAATACCCAGTGGCATATTATAGTTCAACGACCAATCATATTCGTGATTCATATCGAATATTCCATTCTATATATTTTATTTGTATTTCAACATGAATAAGCGTATTTTGTAATATGGCATTACAAAATAACCAAGAGTGGTGAACACTTCCTCAAAACAAGTTCAATTCCCAACCGATTTACACAGAACCTAATTCAACTGAAATCAAAAACGAGACCTCTGTGGGAGAGCCAAGAGTTGCAAGGATACGTGTTGAAATGGTGTGCTATCTCCAACAATATTTACCTTCTGACTATCTTTTCGCTATTTACGTTATATTAACAACTGCGATTACGTAATGGAGAAATGCTTCCAACAATTGTGGCTTGGAATAATTAGAGCAGGTAGATGAAGGTAACGACATGCATTCATAAATATTTAATGTTCAGTGAAGAAAGAGTTTAACTTTGTATACTTGCAATTAACAATGGCATAAAATCACAATCCGGGAGACTAAATTTTTTTGGTGTAAATAGACCAAAATAATTATTGCCATGGGGGCCTGATGATAATTTCTTAATGACATATGTTTGTCAGCTGCGTTAAAGCAAATAAACCGATGTTAAACTTGTGGGGTTATTTATTAAAAGAATATAAATAAAAATTAGATATAATATGGCTTTACATGGTTTACCAATAAATATGGGTTTATGTAGTAGCTATGATGAATAATAAAAAATAAATGAACATAACATCATTTATTATTACATTGGAGAGGATTAATATCGCAGCATAGCTTAAAGTAACAATAATTATTACTTCCAGTCACAACCTCACTTTAAACTGACGCTGGAAACAAGCATTTATTCACGCTAAATATTTGCAAGGTATGAGTGGGTAAATACATAACTTTTATATGAACCCTGAAAGAAATAAAGTTTCAAATTGTATTAGCAATAGTATGTTACATATTAAATTGCAATTATTTTAGGATTTATTGACTATTAACGTAATAAATAATAATATTTATTGTTTTTCAATTTTATTTTTGTATTAAAATTGCTGCTCCAATAATAATAAATACGTTCTAAGGTACTACTTTTACCAGTGTGTTATGTAAAGTTTTGATGTTGAGTGATAACCACTGCTCTTATTGTTTATCATGTTGAACGATCTGAAGCTACATAATAAAATATATTTCTGTAATCTATATGATGATATTGAAAATCAGAAACCTACATATACTCCATGAGTAAAGTTATTGTTCAGGAAAGCATCGATTTAAAAGTGATTTTTCAATTAAAAGAATATTGCATTATACTGTAATTATTACATTTAATTTCCTTCCGCTACAAAATAATAAAGTATTTTAATGAGGTGAATTTTTCAATGAATAATTTCCTACTGATCTTAATGATTAAGCACCCATGATTAAAAAAAAAAACCTCATTTTCGGCCACAATGGTATCTTAGAAATTTATGAAAATTTTCTCTTTTTTTTCATTTGGTGATTGAATCTCTATAATTTGTTGTTAGTAATTGGTAAATGGTTGACTGTCGTGGATAATGAAGACAAGAATAGTTGGGATGGTCAGTCAAAAAAGAAGGCAAAAAATAAATTTTATGTGAGATTCTTCCTAGAAGTCTAAATTTAGATATATCCAAAGTAAGATTGATATAAACTATTACGAAGCGTGCCGCTTATGAGTTTATTTCGACTAAAATTTTTTCAAATTTGTTGTCTGGAAGGAGCAAGAACAAAAAATGTTTATCTGGCGAGGTATTTCGTACTAGCTATTAACTAGGTTTTTTTTTTTTTCCTTCTAATTTTGAACAATCATACAGGCCAAAGTCACCCTGAGGAATTGCCAGATAATTTTTTGAGAACTAAATATCCCTAGCCAAACCTTCTGCTGCTTACGGAAAAACTACTTGCTCCCGGACTATTTTGATTTCTTATCATTAACATTAGCATTTTCATGTCATATATTTTCACATTTATGTGTACGTTTCTATATTATTATTATTTTATATATATTTCATTGATTATTAAATTTTTCGTTTTGTTTACCCTTGGTGACGACCCGCAAGTTAGGCCGAAATGTTGGCACCCAATAATAAATATTTTGCTTATTAATATATTCCTGACAATTTTTTTCTTCCTTATGATTTCAATAGTCAACTACTTACCCATCTATAAATAATTTTTAAAACATTGTGTAGAAAAGGTTCGGGCAAATTCCTAATAGACAGCGGCAATCCTTTGATAGATTTCCGATGCACATCAATGAATGATCCCAACAGTGAGTTTAGGAACTTGTCCACTGTTACATCGATGATCTTAGGAACGAACTGAAGGATTTCCGATGCTCATCTCAATGCTGGGTGCAGGAATTTGCCCTCCTTAAGAAAGACTTTTGTCGCCTTCTGGTTTCATTAATTATCTCTATGCCTTGATATCTTTCGAACGCGCCTTAGTGAGTGTTAAAATCCAAATTTCGAGGTTTTGAATGATGTTTTTAATGCTTGTATAACAAGTTCTATAGCTATTAGGAATTGTTTAATTTTGACTTAATTATGGATTTGAATTTTGTGTCAGAAATAATTTCTGTTGCTAGTGAGTATTTTAATATATTGCTATCACTTTGTTAATGCTATTGCTAGTAAAATATTAAACAATCCTTATTTTGAAACTTTGGAGTATCAACTCAGTCTTTCCTTAATAATTACATTGGAAATTGTCATTCCTGTTAGTCTGTGGTATTTGAAATAACGGTGGTCTGGTGTTATCTGTTTTTTTGTTTATAATTTTTATTAATAATCATACCTTATTCACTTTGATTGATCATTTTTATACATGATTTTTTTTTGTCACTTCATAGTAGAATAAAAAAAAACATCGAAGTTGTTGGCATGAACTATATTGTTAATGAAATTAGGTATAAGATGTTTTACATAAATAATTTATTTGAATGAAATCAATAAAAAATATTAATTAATATACCAATTAATTTATTCATTCTCCTAATTTGATTTGTATTTTAGGTATAGTTTTGTTTTATTAAACTATTAGTTTTCATTCACCATCTGTTCTCTGCTTATGTCAGATTACATGTTAATCTTACCAGTGATGGATTTATTCTATTCTACTAAAATAATCATGTTCTAGATCTGTATCTGCTTAAACCACATAAATAGAAAGTTCTGACTGTATGTTTATATATAGTTTTGCCCTATTTTCATGTTTATTCTTTTTATTTCCATTACTTCTATTCAGCATTACGTTAATATAACTCTTGTATCGGCACATATTAATTTGTTTGTTTAATTTATTACTTATTATAAGTTGGTTTAGGGTTTTTGAAATTAAAATACCTCTGTGTCTAAAGCTAATTGAAAATGTAAATGTACGAGAAAATCCATGAAATCTTTTGACCCCATTGAATTATATAGAATTAAACATATTGATATTAAAAAATATCATTGATTGATGAAATAAAAATATTTAAAACCAGATAATAATAATTTATATACATATTTACAACAACATATATTTACAATTTTATGGATACTGGAGGGATAAGATGTGATTGAAAAGGCGGGATTTAAAGATGGGAAGGGTATTGGAATGACGGCTGCAGGGAGGGATAGAATTCCAAAGAGATGAGGATTGGATAATGAAAGATCTACCAAAAGCTGTAGCTTGGTGGGCCCTTATATACAAATCTGAAGACCGGAAACAGCTTTAGCAGGAGTAGACAGAGGATTTGAATTGAAGGAGATTGGAGATGTATGAAGGACGGTGGGATAGGATAACTTGGAAGAGGAAGGATGCTAGGAAGTATCTAGACAGTAGGAAGGATAAAGCCACTTCAGCTCTTCATAAAGACGGGAGACAGAGGCGTCCCTTGGGATACCAAAGATAAATCATACAAAGTAATTTATAAAACATTTTAATTTTGCCTCAATATCTCCAGAGACACCCCCATATACCGTACAGTAATAGTTAAAGTGGGGAAATATTAAGTAAGTGATCAGGAGTTTACGAGTTTTAAATGAAAATAGGTGGTGAAGATAATTTAGACGTTTTAAAGTGGAAAAGAAATGGTGAGATATTGGTCTTTCCAGGAAAGGGTTTGACCAAAGGCTATTCCAAAGTTCTTGACGCTGGGACAAAATTTTATGGTAATATTATCATGTAGGAACAGTTTTAAGGAGGTGATTGAAGCCTATCAAAATTGCCTTGGTCTTCTTCACATTCAGCTTCCGCCCTTTCACAGATTTTATTTAAGTCCTCTTGAAGTTTTTGTGTGGTGGCCTATAGGTCAGAAGGGTGGAAGGACAGGTGTATTTGGAAATCATCGACATAGATGCAGTATTAGGAGTGATGGGTCAGGAGGGGAAGGTCATTAATGTAAATAGCAAACCGAGTAGGAGATAAGGAGGACCCCTGAGGGACACCACAGGGTAAAGGAAGTGTCTTAAACTGGGACAACTACATGCTTAGGGATCGATCTGAAATGAAGGATTTGGAGGTCGTGAGTTATTTTTAGGAGTGCAGATTGCGTGTGTTTCAAATATTGCGAATAGTGGATGATAACACTAAAATATCTTTCAAAGTAATTCAGCTCATGCTCTCTCTTGCTATAATGGAAAAAAATAATCCTAACAAATCTGGACTTGTTTTACATTTAAAGAATCACCAACAGTCTTATAAAATATATTTAGCAAATAAATATAATATTTTTATGTTAATATGTGGTGGTAAATTTTTTTTTTTTTTTTCCATCTTACAACAGGTTGATAGACAGAACTCTGTTGTAACTTGAAAACTGACTGTGTATATATATATACTCACACACACATTATATTATTGTTTTTTTGTCTTTGTTATGCACAGACTTCAAGATATTAAAATATACCTACCATTTCTTTTTTTGTGTAAAACAGAAAAAAATAATATTTCCAAAAGTATTGAATGAGTTCAAATGTATTAGAATTTACAAAAATCAGTAAAGGAGGTCAAGTAAATTTTGATCTTGAAAAAGTAAATTATATTCGTTTTTCGGCTTCTTTACAACTCTTGAATATGATTTTTATAGAAATAAAAAATTAAAATTTTAAAACTTATAAATATAAAACTAATAATAATAATTATATATATATATATATATATATATATATTTATGTGTGTGTATTATTACTTTTATTCTGTTTACTAAAAAAGATTCCCTACCAATTCAACATTGACACAATCACTGGCAAGCTGAAACTGCTTTTTCAACCAATACCAATAACTTCTCGATTTTATTCCTTTATAAGCTAAAAACTAAAGTAAAATTTTTCAACTATTTTCATTTTATTTCATTGTTCTAAATTTTTTAAGGTCAGATTTGTGCCATTTCATGGAGCTTATAGAGTTCTAAATTACTGATAACGTTCGTGTGGATCAGTAAAGTTGTCTTGAAGTTACAAAAAAAATTTTTTCTCTATAAAAAATATAAAAATATAAAAAAAAGATTATAAAAATTTTAATTAAATGGTTATTTTTAGGTGTGAATAATGAATATCAACTTAGTTCTAACATAAAAAAATGTTTACCACCATATCACAACTGTTAGATATAAGTGTTCAAATTCTTAAAAGTTTCTTTACTTCTAAAACTAAAAAATAGTCAGATTTCTCTGCTGTTATGAGAATTTGGATTGAGTTGATACTTTTTTGGTTGCAGTTATTTCTGATACTAATCAATAACTTCTATCAGCCACTTTTGAAACTAACCTTTTTATTAATTAGTTAAATTACCCTTGACAATTTGTTTTTATGTACTATCATCCTTATTTTTTTATTTAAAACATTTAGTATTAAAAATAAACAAGTATTATTTGTAGCAACAACAAAAAATAAAACAAATATGGAAATAAATTATTTCACTCTTATTATTTTTTATTTTATATAGGTGAAACAGAGTTGAAGCATCTTCAAGATTCTATTCAAAATGTTTCTGAGCAAGCTAGTTTACTTAAGATGAATATCAAAGATCAAATGGATGATGATTATCACAAATTGTTGCCAATCATTAAGGAAAACAGTGAAGTTATCCGGCAAGTTGATGAATTAGTGGAGGATATCAAGGGATTACATATACGTTTAGAAACGCAGGTTTTCGCTTATTCGTGTTTACTCATGTATCATTTAAAGTTATTTTAATTATTGTTACATAATAAATATTTTATAGACTAAACGTGATGTTGAAGACTTGGCAGAAGAGCTGAAGCATTCAAAAGAGTCACTTATTGAAGCTACAACTATTGTTGAAGTAGTTGGTAAACTTGTTCATATTGACAAAGACCTTAAAGAGGCCAAAGTTAAAGCTAAAAATAATAACTATTATGGTGCTGCTAAACATATTGATTCAGCTTGCAAGTATCTTAATGAACAATGTAAAGATCTCGACTTCTTAGACATGTATAAAAGTCTTACACAAACCATGGCTTATTATCGCGATGAGTATAGCAGGGACTCACTAGCTGAATGGAGAAAGTCTATTAAATGGACTCATATTGATGGAGATATGGAAAATGAAAAGTTATATACATCTTTGACAATATCGGGGGAAAAAGCTCACCTTGAAAATTTGATCAAAACTTTAGAGCTTTTTGATGTGTCTGACAAAGAAGTTGCTACTTTCAGTGATAACTTTTTGAAATCATTTCTTTTACCAATCATCAGAACTGAAAGTAGTCTGTCCTTAAAAAAAAAGAATGGCACAACCTTGCAAGAAATAGTTATTTCAAGTTCTTCTAAACCAAAAAAAACTGCATATACTGTTGTCTTAGGAAATCTTACCTCAACATTTGAGTTTATTAATGAATGTTTAGGAGTCAATATGCATGAAAAATCATTTGTTTCATACATAGGTGAATATATAGCTGATGATTTTTTGAATACTTTAGTCGATGAATGTCTGACTGATGCTATACCCTCCAAAAGAGAACATTCAAAGAATTGTACTCCTGTCATTGAATCTATTCAAGCTTTTCAGGAGCTCCTCAACTCTATAGGTAAGTTTACATTAAGAAAAAAAATTAATAGTAAATATTGCCTAGGTTTAGTATTAGCACATAAAACTTTTTTTTACAGGTTCATGGGATTAAAAGGAAAAATACCCGCAATAATAGTGGTAATCAAATGAAATGAAGTTTGAATAATTTGAGGATATTGAGACTATAAATAATATCCACAATATATATGTTTGTGATATAGATTAGAGGGGGCCGAACAATCAAACGTGTGTGCAAAATATGCATTGCCTTATACTTTGATAAACCTAAGACTACAACTTCAAATCCCTGGTGCCTGGGGGCTTTTAACTCTGGCATTAATTGTCCACCCTCCCCTCTGATCCAGGAAAACTGCGTACAGAAAGGAGGAAAAAAATGCTTGATAAAAAAGATTTTATATATTGAATTATTATCAAGGAAATATTAATCCTACCACTTATTTTTTCATCTTTAATCTGCTTGTTATATTTTGTGGAATGTCAGATTTTCTTTCCAACAGGTTTTAAACCTTTTTGCATTTTTTTAATTGCTATTGACGAGCTCATCATTAACTTGTTATTAATATCTTTTCTTATTTTCTGTCTTACATTAAAAATAAAACAATTTAAAGTATATCTAAAATAAGCCTAGGAAAAAAAAATGTAGTCATTACTTTGAAATTTCTGTTCATTTGATTGCTTTCATGGTGTAATGAATCAAAAAATATACCTAATAAATTCTCTATGACTTAATTATGGATTATATATGAATCTTATTTTACTGATTTGATTTTGAAAGAGTAAATGGAGGGTGGATATTAGTCACTTTATTAAAAATGTGTAAAAGGCAGAGTTCTACCAGAAACTGTTTTTTATTTTCAAAGAAAGTTAGTCGAATGTTCTACATATCAAGGGTGATATAATAGTCAATGACTGTGTCCTGACTATTTTTCATCCTTGTTAATTTTCTATTCATTTATTAAAAGTATTGCTGGTGGGTTTTTTACTAAGACAATTTTATTAACATTTCTCCATTCTGTTTTCTATTTATAATTTTGTTAAATAGGAATATGCTTTATGTTGACCCCTTTAAGGAATAGGAAAAAAATATCTTACTCTGCTTTAATAATTAATTTCAGGTTTTCTACCTCCCTCAAATAAATTATTGGACAACTATTTTGGTAATGTTGATATGTTATTTCTTAATAAAACTATCGAAAAGTATTTAGAAACTGCTAGGCAACTTATGAAAGCTGATCTGCATGAACTGATCGAAGTTGGAATCGAAGTAAGTAAAGCTATCTTCCAACTGAATTTTGATGTGTGTTTTCATTTTTAGTTATTATACTGAATTTCAACAGATTTTTTCCAGACTGTTAATCACATTATAATCAGTCAAGATTTGATTTTTTCTGTTCTGTTAAACAAATATATGGAGTTCACATATGAGTTGCTTGGAATAATAAAATAAAGGGAATAAGTGATCAGTATAAATTTATTATTTTGAGGAACACTTCTAAAAACCATTTATACATCACAGAACTTTATTGCACTTTTATCTCCTTTTTATATCTTAAAATGTTTTGGGCACTTCGCCTATTTTCAAGTCATATAATCATAACTTTGGATCGTCTAAAATAATTAAAGTTCATTCAAATGTTAATAAACATTATAGTCACTTTTATATTTGGTTCCATTAAAAAAAACAGTTGTCCAAGAAGGGAATAAGTGGTTTTGAGATATTAGGAATTTTGTGTTTAATACTAAAAATATGATAAGTCTTCTGATTTATGACCAATAGAATTACCGTATTTATTATATTGTAGCAATTTAAGATAAATCAATTTCTCACTTCAAAACTATTCCCAGCTATCTTACTAGCATAAAGCTATTATGTAACTTTAATAACTGTCTGCTATTTAAAACTTTGGATTTATAGTTTTACAGGGGACTGCTGTTTCTATTGTTATTCTAAACATTTCAAAAGATTTATGTAATAAGATTTTTTTTGTTAGTTATCGGTTTTCATTTTCACTTAGTTATCAATATAATAACTCACACAAATTTATGAGTATCTCCTAAATCATAGACTCTGAACCATTTGTCTGTATGACGTCACATGTGCTCTTAAAAACAACTATGCCTGCCTTCAATAACCTGTACCATTGATCACCATGGAGGCCAGTAAATCCATTATGTGATGTTACTGTTTTGATGAAATTTTTAATACTTTTTATGTTAAATATCTAATTAATAATTTAAGTGTTTCTATGAAAGCAGTCATTTATTGATATCATTGCATTTTGTCTATATTTTCCTATTAATCTTCATCATTGTTTTACATTTTTTACTTTGCAAAACATTGACATGACAGAGTTACAGCTCACATGCATGTCTTATTTTATTGTTTTGAATTAATTTGTTAAATGTAAATTTAAAAGTGTGAATCACGTATAACATGATGATGTTATATTCTACAAATTATGAAACATTGACTAATGAAATACAATGCATTATATTAACCTTAGCATTTATATTCTTTATATAGAAATTTTAGATCTTGTGTACATTTTCTATTTATTAATAAATAATTGTTCTATAAAAGAATTTAATTTAGTTTAATTAATATATTTATAAAAGAATTTAAACAATACTTTTTATATGCAAAAGTATTCTTTTTGTTGTTATTAATGATATTCAGAAAAAAAAAAAACTAATAAAAACATGAGCTGTCTATAAATGTGCACCCAGGTAGACAAATGTTGGAGAATCTGGCCCTAGGTTGAATTGAATAAAATCCAAACCCTGTAAGATATTGGGTAGATCCATAAATTCGTTTGGTCGAAGGGTGAAATAAACCAATTTTTTTTCATACAAACAATAAATTTTATTTGATAATATATTCACTGTTTTATTTAATGGCCTTATTTTACTTAAATGTCGTTATTCTGCTCTTATAAAAAAATTTGGAGCTTAGAAGCGAAAAACTGATCAAGATACGTTTTTACATCTTTCTCATGTGTGAATGATTTCCCATTGAGGGAATTTTGGAGGGTTGGAGGGACCAGAATAAGTGTTAGTCGGATGGTGCATGGTCCAAAGGATACGGTGGGTGTAATAAAATATTCCAGCCTCCTGTGATCCTGCAATAAAAAGTTGTACTAACTTTTGGTGTGTGATTATTGCAGAGTGTGGTTTGGCGCTGCTATGGTGGAATACAACCCATTTGCGATTGATTAGTTCTGGGCGTTTCTGTCGCAATGATTAGTCCAATTTCATTAACTCCGTGCAGTAGATCTTCGAATCAATTGTTTTTTCTTGTGGAAGCAACTCATAAAACAGTATGCCGCGGCAATCCCACCATATGGAGAGCAAAATCTTTTTCAGATGTAGACCTGTCTTTGTGGTAGCATTAGTCAAGTTGAGTCAACAGTTGTCCACGATCTCCAGTTGTGCACTGCATTGTTGTAGATGCTCCACTTTTCATCACCTGTCAGTATTCCTTTGAAAAATGTGTCCCTTTCGGGCCGGTTCAGAAGAGAGTTACAGATTGATATTTGGTTAGTCAGATTTGCCTCAATCAGTTTGTATGGCACCCAAACATCCCGGTGGGAAACATGTTTTAAATGTCTTTGAACGGTTCCAAAACTTATTTTCAGTGTCTCCGCAATTTCTCATACTTGTAGAGACTGGTTTTGTTTGATTAGAGCCTTGATATCACTCGACTCAACCTCGGGAGACCAACCGCTGCGGAGTGCATTTTCGAGACTCGTATCTCCAGAACGAAGCTTGGCAAACCATTTTAGAGCAATAAGTTCTGTTAAGGCATCATCCCATCCCATATACCTTACATACCTCCGAAGCTCGTTTGCCTTTTTTGAAATAAAAAAGAAAAATATGCCGAAAATGCACTTTATCATTTGGCATATTCACTACACTGTAGCACAAACAAAACTAATGCCAATGAAACCAAACACAACAGTTTAAAGAGTGGGCTTTGAACTTTCCGATAATTATCGTTGTTGTCAGATAAGGCAAAGAGAACTGTAAATATTTGAAAACAATTTGCACTACTAACAAGAACCAAGCGAACTTATGGATCCAACCAATACTTTTAGATACTACTCCCTGATCGTATATAATAGATAATACCTTTCCATCTCAGTCCACTTTTATCTATTTTTATTTTTTATTTTCCAAATCTAAAACATTTCCTATTGAAACTTAATAATAAAAGTCTTTTAAATTATATTTTCATTAATTCTGTTTTCTATTTTATTAAAGCCATTACCCCAAATTGATGGTACAATCAAAGTTGAGCAATCTACAAATAAAAGTGTAACAATTGAAAATGTGACATTCAGTTTGAACGAGTTGAGCCCAAATTTTTTTCAGTTTCCAAAATGTTCTGTAAGGTATTTATGTAATATTTGTTACTTTTATACTTAGAAATAAATTAATGACTTTTGTCTAAACATTTTATAATATTTTAGTTGTTCGTTGTTTTTTTTCTGTTTTCAATTTTTTTTTTTTTTTTTTAGTAAATCAGTAGAAAGTCTTATAGATCATATTGAAGTTATATTATCAGATGCAATAGATTCTGATGGACCTACTTGCCTTAAACTGTTTCAACTTGCTCGAGGTATTGTTGAGCTGTATAGTGATGTTGTTCCTATGTACCACAGCGATCTCCTGATTGAGATACCTCAGTACGCAGGTATTTATTGGACGTATTTTTATTTTTTGTAAAATAAATAACGATTATTGGTTATTTATGTTTTAGAAGATAGTGGTCCGTGGTACAGACCTCTTTTATCAAATTATTAACATCCACCTGAAATTTCGTAAATAGTCGTAACCTACAACTATTTTATTTACAAAAACTGTTGGAATTGGGGTGTTTTCAATCTGGTGGAGGGCCAACTTTGTCTATTTAATTAGATACTAAAATACCCATTTGCTTTCTGTATAGATCGTAAGATAATTTGATCACAAAATCGAGAAAAAAGGTGGCCTTCAAAAATATTGAGCCGTTTGGCGTGCCTGCCCCCCTCCAGATTGAAAACCCCCCAATCCCAAGAGTTTTCGTAAATAAAATAGCTGTAGGTTACGATAAGATGAAACTATTTACAAAGTTTCAGTCGGGTGTTAATAATTCGATAAAAAGGGGTCTGTACCATGGACTTTAGTACGAATCTTTTTTGTATTAATAATAATAACAATTATTTAAGGATATTTCATTTGATTGTTTTATGGTTATTGAGCAGTTTCTTTTATAATTACTGTTGTTCTCTTTATAAGGGCCATTTATTTTTTTAAAATTACTGGTCCATTTAGATCAAACTTGAGGAGTGTGTCTACCCTGTGTCTCCTCACAATTCTGTGTTTTAGATCCCAGTTCAATATTATTAGTTTAATATTTACTGATTGTTGAATCTCAGACTAATTTTATACTGACAAGTGGCAATTGACCTGGTACTTATCTTACAATGCTGTTGTTTTTGGTGAAGATGTTTTTGACCATAGAATGAATTTTAGAAGTTGGTTGGGTAAGGGAGGGGTACAGTCTTAGATGAAATATTAGTACTCAATCTAGCTTTCAATAAATAGTTTTGTTTGATTATACAACTTCTATGTCCAGGCTTGGAACTAGGATTTTTGCCAGATGGAACAAGCTTAATTTGTTCACACCTTTCAGCTCTTGCTGCCTCTTAATTATTAAAGTCAGCACTTTTGTAGTACTATTTTAGTTAATATATATATTATAGTTAATATAATATATATATATATATATATATATATATATATATATATATATATATATAAGATAAAGACCGGAGACCGGCGATATCAGCCTTAATACCGTCCTGAATGTAAATAAACATATGAAATGTATATAAGGAGGATTACTAAAGGAATAAATCAGTATCTTTTCTGAAACCGTGAGTGTTGCATTTCAAGCCCTTTCCTTTCTTTTTTTTTATTGTTAGAGTCCGCCGACGCTTAACTGGTGCCGAAACCCGGGACTACGACAGGAGAACAGAGAAGTAATTTTTTTTTAAAGTCATTTTTTTTTCTCTTGGTTTTTTTTTCTTCTCCTAGTCATAAGGAAAGAGTGAAATGCCAACAGAGGGCTTAATCAGGCCGGGAGTGTTGAGCGCCCCGGAAATCCCTCAACCTCAAGAAATTCCGCAGATACCTCAGATCGCGCAGGCCCCTCAGGTGCCTCAGATACCTCAAATACCTCAGGTACCGCAGATTCCGCAGATCCAGGAGATCCCTCCCTTACCGAGGGACACATTGGCAGAAGCGCACGCTAACGCGCTGGAATGGATGAAAATAAGAGCGGCGACCACGCAGGACCTTCGAAGAGCCATTGCGGACCTGGAACGCTTCGGTGGCGAGGTAGGTGAGCTCAACCATTTCCTGAAAGGCGGAGACCGCCTCATGTCTAGAATAGAGGTAAAGGTGGCGGAGGACCTGGTAAACCTAGGGGACGCGGAAGCGTTGAAAGCGGCTCTGGTGTGCCGAGTAAGGAGGAGCATCCTGAACCAAATTCAGGCGGACGAGGAGACACCATGGCCGGTGATTAAGGAGCGACTGAAGAAGGCCTTCGGAGGAGGCAGATGGACGCCGGAGGAAGACATCTTCCAAATGTTTAGGGAGCGCCGGTCCCAACGTCAGACGAGGGGCCAGTATGCGGGGGTACTAGTGGCAAAGTACAACCGCATAACGGAGAAAATGCGCGAAACAATGAGTGTGGGAGAGGTGGAAGCCAGGATGGAGTTCCTCTCGACGATACTCAAGGTCCAGTTGGCGAAGGAAACGGGAAGGAGAGACGGATTGCCCAGGGAGAGATCATTCCTCGAGTGTGCCCAGGAAATGATCGACCTAAGCGCAAGGGAAGAAGAGACTCGGATGGACGTGGAAGAACCAGGGTGGATCCGGGTGAATGACAGACGACCCCGGACAGCCCCGATGGGTTGGAAGAGGAGAGAAACGGTACAGCCGAGCGGAGAAAAGGTCAGGATGGGTGAAAAAAGATCCGGACAAGTGAGGCCGAGGAATGGACCCCGCAGGGAAGACAGGAAATGTCATGGGTGCGGAAAGCCAGGACATTTAGTTGCACAATGTCCGCGCACTAGATGTTTCGAGTGCGGTACCGAAGGGCATATTGCTAGGCAGTGCCCGTACATATTCCGGAGGAGAGAAAGAACTCAAGACGAGCCCATGGAAGTAAACACGCAGAAGCTGACAAGACGGGCTAGGATGCAGCGGAAGGACGGATCTTCGGGAGAGGCAACCGAGGAGTCGGGAACTTCGGGGACAGAGACGGACGAACCAGGTAGCAGTGGAGGCGAAGGAGGCAGGAGCAGCCAACGGACCGAGCAGCGACGAACGGCGGCGGGGAGGAGGAAGCTGGGCGGCATCTGAGGAGTGTGGCAGCAGAGAGGCGACCGCACAGCAACATGCAACAACATCCGAGGTAAGCCATGCTGGTTGCCAATTATCGAGGTAGACGGGGGAGTAAAGTGCCTCGTGGATACCGGGAGCTCGAGCACTATTATGACCAGAGGGGCGTTAGGGAAAGTGTGCGGGAGTGAGAGGGCACTCCGGATCCAAAAATGCGATTGCCAACTAATCACTCTGGGTGGCCCCTGTAGCGTAGAGGGAGAAGCGACAATAAGACTTGATCGGTGGGCAGGAAAAGAGGGCGAACTGAAGGTACACGTAGTAAAAAACATGACTCGGGAATACCAGGTCATAGTGGGGTGCGATTTGTTGGGGCAGGTAGGGGCGAGCATTAGGAATCGTAGAGGAGCCTGGAGTGTTAGGTTGGGAAAGAGGAAGTTCGGATGTATAGGGGTCGCGAGAGAAAGAAGGGTGCGGATAGGGGCGGTGAACAGAGTGGAGGACTGGAGGAAGTTGCTACAGGAGGAGTTTAGGGACATTTTCTTCAGGGAAGGTGAGGTATTAGGGGTAACAGGGAGGACGGTGCATGAAATCCCACTGAAGCAGGATAGGGTAACTTACGTGAAAGAGAGAAGATACCCGCAGGCGTTGAGGCAGCATATTCGAGAGGAGCTAGATAGTCTAAAAGAACAAGGGATCATAGTTGATAGCACCTCACCATTCAATAGTCCCCTGTGGGCGGTGAAGAAGAAGGCAGCACCGGGGGATAATAAGGAAAAATACAGGGTGGTAGTAGACTATCGTAAATTGAACGATAACACGGTAGACGAGAAGTACCCGATCCCCAGATTCGAAGATATACTGGATAGGTTGAGTGGAGCCGTGGTCTTTAGCACGTTGGACCTTAAGGCGGGATATCACCAAATACGGATGCACCCGGAAGACCAACACAAAACAGCGTTCACATTCGAAAGGGGGCATTATGAATTCACAAGAATGCCGTTTGGTCTGAAGAATGCGCCCATAACATTTCAGCGTCTGATGGACGAATTTTTGAGGGGTATCGATGACTCGGTATGTCAGGTATATATGGATGACCTGCTGATTTTTAGCAGAACGGAAACCGAACACGTGGGACATCTGAGGTCAGTATTCGAGAGGCTCCGGAAATTCGGGCTGAAATTATCAAGCGAGAAGTCTCTGCTGGGACAAACGCGGATTAATTTTTTAGGCCACACTATCTCTAGCGAGGGGGTCAGACCGGATGCGGCAAAGGTGGAGGCGATCACAAGGATGGCGGTACCACGGGACGTGAAGGGGATCCGTAGGCTTCTTGGGACGCTGAACTACTACCGGAGATTCGTACCTGAGATGGCAGAGTATTTGGTACCCATTAACAATTTGCTGAAGAAAGGCGCGAAGATTGTGGTGACACCAGAGATGGAGAATAATATCCGAAAATGTATGAATAGGTTGCTGACAGAGCCGGTGTTAGCGTTCCCGGATTTTGAGAAGCTCTTTAATATAACCACCGATGCGAGCGAATACGCGTTAGGGGCCGTTTTGTCCCAGGGGGGGAGTGAGGGTGAACGACCGATAGCATACGCGAGCCGTCGGCTTACGGGTGCGGAATCGCGATACAGCGCTTTGGAGAGGGAGCTACTCGCGATAGTGTGGGCTATCGACCATTTCAGGCCATACGTATTTGGGAGGAAGTTTCGAGTCCACACCGACCACAAACCCCTGCAGTGGGTAGGGAAACTTAAAGAAACCTCAGCTAGGGTCACGCGATGGAAGGAAGTCCTTAGTCAATACAATATAGAGGTGGTGTATAAGCCGGGAAAGGAGAACGTGGTGGCGGACTGGCTCTCGAGGGCCATCATGATCAACGCGGTAGAAGAGGACGGGGGAGGACCATCGCGAGACGTGCGCCAATTCTTGAGTGAATGGACTCCCGACGGCGAAGGAGCGGAGGATATCGTCGGTATAGATGACAGGGGAGAGTCCCCGGAAGAGGAGAGCTCAGCGGAGGAAAGAGCAGTGGAAATGGAGGAGATAGACGACATCATCAATGACAAGCATCGTCAGGTAATCTGGAAAACGAGAGTAGCAGGGATGATGAAAATAGATTATCGAAGATATGGGAAAAGCAAGATTCGCGTCATCTGGTCGCAACCCGGGGTGAGTGAAGAGCAAATTTGTACGGCACTGAAGGACGCCACGGAACCTGGAAAGACGCACCATCTTTATGTGGGGAATAACACGGTATGGGATAAAATAAAGCGGATGTGGAGATCCGAGCGAATTGGTGTGGACAGAACACTCATCCGTTGTAAGTACGCAGTGGAAACTATACAGGATGAGGAACAGCAACAGGCAGTCACATTAGCTTATCACCAGGGGAAAACCAACCACCGAGGCGTGAACGAGACACTGCAGGCATTACGTCGAAAGTATTTCTGGTGGGGCATGAAAAAATCCATCCAAGAGGTCATAGGGAAATGCGAGGTGTGTATGCGCACGAAATATGATCGACACCCCCCCAGAGGGATTCAGGAAGAGACACCGACGGGGAATATGCCACTACAGGACCTCCAGATTGATACATTTACCTGGAGAGGGTTCAAGTGGGTCACGGTCATCGACGTCTTTAGCAAGGTAGCTATGGCACACCAGGTCATGGACAAGTCTGCCAACGCAGTTGCGGAAGCCCTACAAACCTGGGTGCAGTTCTACGGGGTCCCCGAGAGGATCACATCGGACGGTGGTAGGGAGTTTGACAATGCCGCGATTAGGGAGGAGGTGAAACGACTAGGGATTCGTTGGCATTATAACACCCCGGGACATCCTAAGGGTAGAGGCGGCATTGAGCGGTTGCACAGCACGCTGAGTGATCACATCCGGGTGTATCAGGGGGAAAAAGGGTTGGAGCCGGATGTTGCAATGAAGAAAGCGGTAACAGCCTACAACCACTCGATTCACTCCGTCACGGGATTTTCGCCCGTGGAAGTACTATTCGGGATGCGCAGGCCAAGGCGAGATTGCGGGGAAACAACGGTTAATGAACCATTAGTCGAGCAAATCCAGAGCAATAGGGTGGAGATGGAAAAGACGTGGGGAAGAGTAACGGCGAAAATTAAGCGGGAAAAGGAGAAGCGGGTAGAGAGGCAGAATGTTCGCGTACGTGACCAAATGGGTGATCTAAAGATCGGGACAATAGTGTACCGTAGAGTAGGGACCAACAGAGGGAAACAATTGTTACGATACGAGGGTCCATTCAGAGTGATTGCTATTAGGGAGCATAATCTACTAACGATCGAAAGCGTTAATGAACCTAGAAAGAGGAGAACGGTTCACATTGAACAATTGAAGCTCCCAATGATAGAACCGGAACATAAACTAACGGATTCGTAGTACCCTCACCACGTTATAACAAATATGTTTTTTTTGGTTGTCTAAGCAAAAATATGGTGTATTTTTTTTTTATGTGTAAATAGAATCATAGCAATACAGTAGAGGAAAGTGTATTATTTTGTTTTTCTTCTCTGTTTTTTTTAGGATTTTAAGAGTTCTGTTTTTGGAAGCAAGTGTTGTGTTTAGTTCTGTTTTTTATTTTTTTTGTATTATTGTATGTCTCGAGTGAGTTTTACTTTCTTTCAACTTTATACTTGTAAAAACAATTGTAAGGTGTTAAGACTGATAATCGTTAGCTCCGATCTAGGAATATCTAAGTTTCCGAAAAATCCTATTCGTAAACTGGTGGGGGGGAGATAAAGACCGGAGACCGGCGATATCAGCCTTAATACCGTCCTGAATGTAAATAAACATATGAAATGTATATAAGGAGGATTACTAAAGGAATAAATCAGTATCTTTTCTGAAACCGTGAGTGTTGCATTTCAAGCCCTTTCCTTTCTTTTTTTTTATTGTTAGAGTCCGCCGACGCTTAACTTATATATATATATATATATAACTTATAGAGAATATGAGTTACTTACCTATTATTTGGCCATGATTAATCATTTATCCTACCATGCTAGCTGAGGTGAGAAGGGGTTAGGTTGGGTATTTTTATAAAGCAGCAAAAAAGGTTAACAGATCTATTTACAGAAAGAAATATTTACAGAATTAATACTATGTATAATAAAAAGAAATAAAATACAAGGAAAAAGAGAGAATTTAAACATAATTACTATATACAATTAAACTGGCTTCTAATACTAGTGATGCGGCTGGAAAAGTGGCGCTGGGATCTTCCGGAGTCTTGCTTTGCCTTCCACGTGTGGGGAAAAAAGCCTGGTTCGGAGATTCTTGGGCGAATGTATATATTGTATATAGTTATGATTGTGTTTAGAAGTTTTTATTTTATTTTATTTGTTTATTATTATTTTTTTTTTTCTTTTCTTTTTATTTATCTTCTTCATCAGTATTATTTATTTACTTCTTATATTTATATTTATTTCTTTATTATTTGTATATATTGTATGAATGAGAACTTTTAGCCCTAATGCTTATAGCCCTCCAGCAGTGGCTGCATGTATTATTATTCAATAAATAGATTAAAAAAAAAAAAAATATATACAATTAAAGATAAATAGGAAGATATTTAAAATAATCAAGATAATAAAAATAACAAAAAAAGATACTTATTCTATATACAATAGTATGGCATGCCACATCTAAACATCAAGAAAAGATAGTCAAAATACAAGAGATATAAGATGTAAGAGCACATGCACATGCTAAAATATCAATTAGTAATCAGGCACAGAAAACAAAAGAAAGAAGAGTTATATTTGTTTCCAGTGCTTTCTTTTTCTTGGTTACAATATATGTATTTGTTGCCATCACAGATTTTGTAGATCTTTTTATGCCTTAACAAACCTTCCTTATCTCTACCTATCTTTGGAAATTTCCAGTCCTCTGCATGGAGCTCTATTGAATCAAGTTTTAATCAGTTTCTCTTAATTATATTATTACATAATAATTATATTAATTATAATATAGTTATAGTTATTATAATATAATAATTATATTATTAAATAAATATTATTTTATTGCATTAGCTCATTTTATGGATTAAATTGAGGTCAAAGCAACTCAAAAGCAGAAAATAGTTTTGTTTTTACATAGAAGAGCCAAATAAAAAATTTGATCAAAATTCACAGCAAGTTCACCCTTTCCCCCTCCCCCTCCCCCTCTCACACTCCTCCGTGGTTCCAGTCTTTATTTGTTTGACACATATTTGAAATTTAATTAAGAATAACATACTATTACGTTTTTTAATAAAATACTGTCTCAACAGCAATCGTTCATAACAACATGATGTACTTGGCTCATCGAACTATGACTATGGAGTATGACAAAAAACCATATGTATCTGCTGATAATGTTCAAGTTATGCCTTGCTTTGCTGATCTGGTCATCCCACTGCGTAAGGAAGCCATTAATGTTCTATCTGAGCAAATTCATTTGCAAGAAAAGAATCTATCAGAAATGGTTAAAGAGTGTGGTAAGTGATTATTTTGATTGTTATTTGTTTTAATAATGCGTATTTTTGAGGAACTCATTGTTAGAGTTGATCAGTTCTAGTAAAAAATTTTATAAACTTGTTTCACAAAATATACATTCAAATATAATAATTTACTATTTTTTACTCTTGTTATTTATTTGTTGGATATAATCCTGCTGTAAATAATATGTAAAATAATCTGCTGAACCATCATTTGTTAGAGCACCAACTTGTTGAAATCTTAAAACCTATTATTTTATTTGTTCTTGTTTGATATTAAAAAACAAACAAAGATGGATAAATCTTAAAGATAATGAAGATTTTGATTGTAAGCTGATAATATAATCTTTGATATTTAAAATTTTTAAGTAATGATTATAGAATAGAATAGAAAATTAAACTTTATTCTGGGACTAAATCCCTTTAGAATAACAATGATGAGTTAATACAAAGTAAAATACAAATGTGGCCAAAAACTAACTTCTAAAAAAATTAATATTATATACATTATTTAAAAAGTATGTAACCAGTAAAAACTAAAAAAAAAATATATATATATATATATATATATATATATATATATATATATATATATATAAATGAACATAAAATCTTCTTAAAATTACTTATTATTGTGATGAAAAAATAAGAAAAGAAATTACATATTTATATATACCATAACTACACAACTTATAAACAGTAGGCTATCTAATAGAAAACTTAATACAAAATGTAATAATATCTACAGTGATTTATATAATAATATGCAGACACTAAGATAGAATAAAATCTTAGGATTACTTGTGGTGTTATGGAGGAAAAAAAAAAAAAGGAACTATTTATACGTACATTCTCATATTGGCACACAGAGAGACAAAAAGTATAAAATATAAACATATATACCCGAAAGAAAAAGCACAACCTGAGGAGAAGAGAAAAACAAATAAATAGTAAAAATAATAGTCAAACTAGGTGACAAAGATCATTGCTGTTTTATGTTAAAACTTAAACAGTATGGTGGTAATCTTATATTTGGGATGTAAGGAGATATTGGAAAAGGAGGTATTTGAAAGTTGACAGTGAAGAGGCATGACGGATGTTATGTGGCAAAGAATTCCAGTAGGAGACGGAACGGGCTAAGAAGGAACGTTCATAGGTTTTTGTCCTTTGGGATGGAATATAGAGGTCAGAATATAGTATAGTAGTTAAGTATTCTAATTTAACTTTTTATTACAATTACTTATAAGCTCACTTTTGCAGTAGCAGCAATATGACATGTTACCACAACATAAAATTTAGGACATATTATCGATAAATGTTAGGAAAAGAGGCAGAATTGACTGAAGATATTATTACCAAAGACCGAAGTGACTATCATGTATAAATATTTGAGAGTTTAATAGGTAGATTGTCTTGTTCACCAATGGCACTGACTTTTTAGTTGTAGAAGAAGTGAACAGAAAAAAAAAATGCTCTTGTGTTATACTAGTATTTGCTGGAGCTGGAGAGAATAGTGAATTATTTGGTCATGTTTCTTCTGATGTATGACAGTTAATTATTTCATGTAATATCTTTATTCTTTTTTTCCAGGACTATCTTCTCTAAGTGAATATGAAGAACTGCCTGAGGGCACAGAAAGAGGGGTGAGAAAGTGTCTTCGGCATTTGTTTCTTCTCAAGACTGTTTGGGAAAAAATTTTAGTTGCAAATGTATACTCAGAAATAATCGGTAATTTTGTTTTCTATTTAATTTATTTCTTTTTCATGATTTTTTAGTTGATGATTCTTGAATGCTTTTGATTCCTGTATCACCTGAAAACAAATTTTAATAAGTAAATATCCAGATAAAAAAATAATAATATATAGGCTAATAAGCAGCCCCATTATGAAGTTGAGTATTTTTTGTTTAAATGAATGGCAATTAGCTTACCATGGTAGTGTGTGGTACTGCGACTTCTGTTATCATCCCTCATTTAATACAATCTAAAATTTAATTAATAAATCTACCCACTATATTGGTAAGTGTAGTAAAATAAGTTACAGGATATTTACCACGAGGTTAATTAAAAATTAAATATTTTAAAATCTAGGATCCTGAATAACTCAAAATATTTACAGATTGAAGTAATATTTCGATATATTGATTTTTATTTGCGATTTAACATCCTTATGTACTCCTACTAAATATATTATCATACTCAGTGGACCATATGCCAGGAGGTAACATCTCTTGTGTTAAAAAGACGTTCATATGGAACATGTTCCGATTCCACTAAAAGAAAGTAGGAAGTTGTTAAGTTTTTTTTTTTTTTTTATATTATGTCACATTTCTTTTTTATTGAATAGGAAGTGATAACTAAAAATGATTTACTTTTGTTAATTACATATTGCAACATAGTAAACTAAATACAATTTTTTTTTATAATGTAATTAGAATTAGAATTTGTCTTAGTTAAAATCTCTATAAAGGGACTTTTAACCCTTAACTTGGCATTGCATTCCTGTAAAGACACCCACAAAACGAAGTAATCGAACTTGAAAACATAAATATTAAAAAGTTAAAAATAGTAACATAAATTTCTACATAAAAAAAAAATTTTTTTTGCCAACTTACGGGTTAAGTGGTTGAACTAAACTTCCAATATTTAATTTTTTTTTTCTTTTTCATTTACCAGTTTTATACTGCACTACATATTTCATCACATTTAAAAATAATATCAGTTTCGTAGGACTTTTCGTTTTTGAGCTTGACTGCTAACATACAGACACACAGATCATTTTTTGGGACTTGGTCATTTCGACTCAGGGTACCTCAAAACGTCTATTTCCGTTGAAAACTCAGATACAAAAATTTTCTCGATTGCAATACTTACCCTTACTATATATTACATATATACGTAAGTGAAAGTAACAAATTCATGTCTGATAAGCTTAAAATTCATGTTTTTAACAAAAATAAATAAGAAACATGTCATTTATTTCAGTAACCTAAGATGTGTTATAATGGGTTTATGGTTGACTGCAGTGAATAATTGAAGAGAAGGGTGGTTGGGGTGATCATACAAAATAAAAATAGCAAAAATAAATAATAATATTTATTTTTACATTTACGGACGTTTTACCCGAAGTTCTAAGTATAAGTCTTTCACTTTTGCATTTTCACATGATAAAAGATGAACCATTATTTTTTTATAGCCCTCCACATTATTAAACTCCTTCTCTAAATATAGTTGTTCCAGTCAACTTTCACTTTGTTTTGTAGAAACGTCAACATAATCGAACACATTGGAACTGAATCTAATCATTCAGTATTTAAAATTCTGATTACTCTTAACATCTATACAAAGGAAATTCAGAGAAAACTATTGAAAATAAAATGGTCTAAAATATAGTTTATTATTGTAACTTATTCAGAAATGTGATCACGTTTACTGAAGATTCTATTATCAATCATTTATTAATTAATGTATGTTTTTTTTTATTTCACTTTATATTTTATTGAATGATGACAAACAACAGGCCGAGTCTGATGTTTCAGATGGAATTCTACTATCAATCATTTATTAATTAATCTATGTTTTTTTTTTTGTCATTTTATATTTTATTGAATGATGACAAACAACAGGCCGAGTCTGATGTTTCAGAGGAAATTAGTTGAGCCTTTAAGGTTCCTTTTTCTTTTGAAACAATTGATCTATAACTTGGAGCGAATAATTTAATTCTGACTTTAAAATATAAATAAGATGAAAAACATACATAACTCGTTATTTACTTTAAAAAATATAAGATTGAAGTAGCCTTTAAGATTATTAAAGAATTGGGATTTAATAATTGGGCCTCTTTCTAGAATATATTACCATGCTCATCCAGACAGGCTCTTGCTACTCTAGTTTGTAGTACCTATCGTTAACAACATCTATAGAAAGAAAATTCTTAAGTATTAAAAATAAAATGATCTAAAATATAGTTAATTATTGTAGATTATTCAGAAATGTGATCACATTAACTGAAGATTCTACTATCAATCATTTATTAATTAATGTATGTTTTTTTTTTGTCATTTTATATTTTATTGAATGATGACAAACAACAGGCCGAGTCTGATGTTTCAGATAGAATTAGTTGAGCCTTTAAGGTTCCTTTTTCTTTTGAAACAATTGATCTATAACTTGGAGCGAATAATTTAATTCTGACTTTAAAATATAAATAAGATGAAATACATACATAACTCGTTATTTACTTTAAAAAATATAAGATTGAAGTAGCCTTTAAGATTATTAAAGAATTGGGATTTAATAATTGGGCCTCTTTCTAGAATATATTATCATGCTCATCCAGAGTGGCTCTTGCTACTCTGGTTTGTAGTACCTATCGTTAACAACATCTATAGAAAGAAAATTCTTAAGTATTAAAAATAAAATGATCTAAAATATAGTTAATTATTGTAGATTATTCAGAAATGGGATCACATTAACTGAAGATTCTACTATCAATCATTTATTAATTAATGTATGTTTTTTTTTTGTCATTTTATATTTTATTGAATGATGACAAACAACAGGCCGAGTCTGATGTTTCAGAGGAAATTAGTTGAGCCTTTAAGGTTCCTTTTTCTTTTGAAACAATTGATCTATAGCTTGGAGCGAATAATTTAATTCTGACTTTAAAATATAAATAGATGAAAAACATACTTAACTCATTATTTACTTTTAAAAAATAAGATTTAACTACCCTTTAAGGTTAAAGAATTGAGATTTAATAATTGGGCCTCTTTGTAGAATATATTGACATTCTCATCCAGACAGGCTCTTGCTACTATAGTTTGTAGTACGTGCCATTAAAAACATCTGTAGAAAGAAAATTCTTAAGTATTGAAAATAAAATGGTCTAAAATATAGTTTATTATTGTAAATTATTCAGAAATGTGATCACTTTAACTGAAGATTCTATTATCAATCATTTATTAATTAATGTATGTTTTTTTTTTAGTCATTTTATATTTTATTGAATGATGACAAACAACAGGCCGAGTCTGATGTTTCAGATGGAATTAGTTGAGCCTTAAAGGTTCCTTTTTCTTTTGAAACAATTGATCTATAACTTGGAGCGAATAATTTAATTCTGACTTTAAAACATAAATAAGATGAAAAACATGCATAACTCGTTATTTACTTTAAAAAATACAAGATTGAAGTAGCCTTTAAGATTATTAAAGAATTGGGATTTAATAATTGTGCCTCTTTGTAGAGTATATTGCCATTCTCATCCAGACAGGCTCTTGCTACTATAGTTTGTAGTACCTATCATTACCAACATCTTTAGAAAGAAAATTCTTAAGTATTAAAAATAGAATAGTTTAAAATATAATTTATTATTGTAATTTATTCAGAAATGTTATCACAATTACTGAAGATTCTACTATCAATCATTTATTAATTAATGTATGTTTTTTTTTTTTTTTGTCATTTTATATTTTATTGAATGATGACAAACGACAGGCCGAGTCTGATGTTTCAGATAGAATTAGTTGAGCCTTTAAGGTTCCTTTTTCTTTTGAAACAATTGATCTATAGCTTGGAGCGAATAATTTAATTCTGACTTTAAAATATAAATAGATGAAAAACATATATAATTCATTATTTCTTTTAAAAAGTAAGATTTAACTACCCTTTAAGGTTAAAGAATTGAGATTTAATAATTGGGCCTCTTTGTAGAATATATTGACATTCTCATCCAGACAGGCTCTTGCTACTATAGTTTGTAGTACGTGTCATTAAAAACATCTGTAGAAAGAAAATTCTTAGGTATTAAAAATAAAATGATCTAAAATATAGTTTATTATTGTTAATTATTCAGAAATGTGGTCACGTTAACTGAAGATTTTATTATCAATCATTTATTAATTAATGTATGTTTTTTTTTATTTCACTTTATATTTTATTGAATGATGACAAACAACAGGCCGAGTCTGATGTTTCAGATGGAATTAGTTGAGCCTTTAAGGTTCCTTTTTCTTTTGAAACAATTGATCTATAACTTGGAGCGAATAATTTAATTCTGACTATAAAATATAAATAGATGAAAAACATACATAACTCATTATTTCTTTAAAAAAGTAAGATTTAACTACCCTTTAAGATTAAAGAAGTGGGATTTAATAATTGTCCCTCTTTGTAGAATATATTGACATTCTCATCCAGACAGGCTCTTGCTACTATAGTTTGTAGTATGTGTCATTAAAAACATCTGTAGAAAGAAAATTCTTAAGTTTTGAAAATAAAATTGTCTAAAATATAGTTTATTATTGTTAATTATTCAGAAATGTGATCATGTTAACTGTAGATTTTATTAATCAATGTATGTTTTCTTTTTAGTCATTTTATATTTTGTTGAATGATGACAAAGAAGGGGCGAATCTGATGTTTCAGATGGAATTAGTTGAGCTTTTAAGAATCCTTTTTCTTTTGAAACAATTGATCTTTAACTTGGAGCAAATAATTGAATTCTGACTTCAAAATATAAATATGATGAAAAACATACATAACTCGTTATTAACTTTAGTAAAGTAAGATTTAAGTTATCTTTGCCATAAATTTCTTGTATTTATTAAGATTGATTCAAAGATAATTAAAAAGCCATCATAATTTACTGGGAACTCTTTATCTATCTCTATATGTCAATTCTCGTTCACAAATTCCTTCTAACAACTCCTATTCCACTACCTTCATATATAAACTTCTACCATTACAATTAACAGTAATTGACAAGTGCTGTTTTGTAACTCTTCATGTCAGACTGAATTCTGTTATTATTCTTAGGGGAATTTAGTCTCCTCTCTCTGTCTTTTTTTTTTTTTCCTTCTTTCCCCCCGCCGTACCTTAGGGCAACCCAATACCAGCGGTACATCCAATTTTCTAACTGAAAAATATGCCACGAATTTAAGGGCTCGGTCACCAGGATTGGTAACCAAGCTGGCAGGTCTGCTCTCAGTTTGATCCAAATTCTTGGGCCAAAGTGAGGCAAGATTCGGTCTTTTAATTTGATTGGGGCATTAATTATTACGGGTAAGCCTACACTAATGGGCTGCCTGCAGCTGGAGGGCTGTTCCCACCAAACAGGACTCCAGTAACTTCCTACCTACTTATTGTGGGCCTATTACTAGGTTTATATTTAATACTATTTCTAGATCTTATGATAACAATAAATTTATGTATTTGGTATATCACCGGTTTAATCTTTCCTATCTTGCTATTTTTTCTTGGAATATCCTCCTGGCGTATTTCTTAAAGGCATCAAATATCTCAGATGTCTCCACAAGCTTGTCCAGGGACCGAGGAGGCCATTCCAACATGGAGTAATCTCCTGCCAATGCTTGTCGGGCGCCAGTGTACATCGGACATTCCAAAAGCATGTGTCTAGCTTCCTCAACAGCCCCGCAGTGACAATTCGGATTGGCTCTTCTATGAAAGAAATGTAATTTTTCATTTATATCTCCATGGCCTGTGAGGAGTTGAACAGTCCAGAAATCCGTCTCCACCCAGTCATTCTTGATTTTTCTCCTGACATCTAGGAAGAACTCGTGGGTCAGTCTTCCAGTCTCGCATGCATCCCACCTTCTCAGCCATTCAGAAAGGACTAGTTCTTCTATTCTGTTGGCTACCTCATCGTACCTTCCACTGGGGTACACAAAGCAGCTTGTTCCCCCACATTTCCTGGCAATCCTCTCTTTATTCTATACTTGGCTATAGATATTTGTATTTTCAGGTCTATAGGCAATTGTCCCGTAATCACTTGCAAAGCCGAAGTAGGTGCCGTTCTCTTCTCCCTCTCTCCCCCTCTCGCTGTCACCCTCTCTCCCCCTCCCTCCACCCCTAAAAAATTGTATGACTGCGTTCTGAATATTAATCACTCATGATATGTAGAACAGTCGACTAGCTTCCTTCAATAATTCAAAAACATACCTTAGTTGAAAATATAAAAATTTTTATTATATAATTATTTTTATCATGAATTGCTTCATTTGTGTACAATCGTAGCTGAAACATTAAAAGAAAAACTAACGTCATTATTTTTTTTTACTACTGTCTGTGTTGTGTGGGATGATGACAATAGGCCGATTCTGATGTATCGAATGGGAATAGTTGAGCCTTTGTTTTGGTTCCTTTTCCCATTCATACATATGATCTGGAAATGAATCAGCTGGAAGCGAAATAATGTTGACCTGACCACTGAAGTAACATAGTTCCATGAACAGTTTGTAAAGTGCTAAAAAATAAATTCAATATTCATAAGTAAATGTTGGATGAAATAATATTTATTTTTGTGAATGAAGCATTTCATTTTTTTCTGTTGTTCCCTAATTATATGATAGCGAAAGAAGAAGAAAGACAGTAAAAGAGTTGTCCCGATTTCACCTATCCTAACAAATTTGGGAAACTAAATGGTTACACACTGTAATTAAATAGTTTGAATTTGTAATTTTTTTTATATATACAAGTTTATGTTATATATATATATATCCACTTTTATTATAAAAATATGTTATTTATCATGCAAATATATTTACTTTGTAAATTTAAAAATAGAAATGTTTTTAAAATTGAATAAACTATTTCATTTTCATGATATATGACTTATAAAATATAATTTTTAATGTTGTGTCAATTTTTTACTTTAAATTTCTGTAAAACAGATATCTCTCTCTAAAGTGGACAAATTTTGATTTCCTGTAGATGTTCGCTACTGAGAAGTTTTACTTTATTTGTAGATAAAATAATAAGTTATTATTTTAAAATGAAATAAGAGGGTTAGAGGAAAAAACAGTGTTTTCAAATTTGTAACGCATGAATTTGTCATCTAATTGTGGGCAAGTTGCAGTAAATATGTTTTTCAGTATGTTATAATTTAAATACTAATCTTCACCGTAGAGATGGATATATAAATTTGTTTTTTGAAAAAAAAAAAAACCAAAAAAAAAAAAACCAACCAACAGTAAAGAAAACAAAAAATAAAATTACCAATTTCTATTTTAATCTGATCAATTAAAAAAATTGTATTTAATTAATCAGTTATTTAATAATATACTATTAATATTAGACAATTAATAGTTATTTAATATGAGGATTAAATAATCAGTAAAACAAAAATTTAAAAATAATTGTTGGATGGATCATAATTTATATTTTGGAATAATCAGGTTGGATTTTTTTTTTTTTTTTATATATACATATATAAGCAACATTATATGTTTATCCTAAATTCATCTTTCGAATTTCATTTTCTTATCAATTTATACTTCATTCAGCTAAACTAGCTTTCTCAGATATGAATATGTGTTTATATATTTTTAATTATACTATATTTTGTTTCAGGAACATTAAGCAACGTTTTTGTAAAGGAGATTACAAATCGTATCGTAATGACAAGAGATATCAGAGCTAATGTAGCTACATCCTTAGCCAAAGTCCTCTCTGTAATTGAGACAGAATTGCCTTTGCTATTTCAAGTGAGATTGTTTTATCAACTTTTCTTAAAGCAAATAATAACTTTTTTTGTGACTATTAGCCTTTAACATTTTGGTCATTTTAACCACCCTGCTCCACATTCGTCTATTATTATTCAATTTTTTTCATTTGGTTTATTTTTATAAATTCTCCTTATTTTTTATTTATTTTTTTGGGTCCTCCCCTTCCTCGCCATTAAGACTATATGGGGTTTTCCCCGGCCAGGAGGTGTGGGCGGGGATTTAAAAGATGCCTTGGCACCGGGACGCGAACTCGTGACTATTTTTATAACATATTTGTCATATTTCAGGTCCTTATTTTTTATTACATATTATGTTGCTATGGTTGTGGAGACACATGCTATGCCTAACTTAGTTCCATTAAGGTAAATATCCACAGTAGTGTTCGCTTCCTTTCCATCCATATTATGAGATATAACTAACTGGTTCTTTGAGAACTTTATATTATTTAGAGCTTTGAATACAGGTTAGTACATTTTTTGGATTCCCTTTATTTTATTTTGTCTTATCTTCTTTTACTCACCTGTAAGCTGATTCACTCTACTTCTCCGATGTGGGTCTGAACAGTTTCCTTATGTCCTACATTTTCATAACTACTCCACCATTTTCTTGCTCCATTATTATTTTAACTTTTTCCTGGGCTAAGTTACATAGCGCTGATTCCTCAATTCTTGAAATTTAACATATTAAATATTTACTCTGTATCAATTCATTTGTGATTCTTTCTTTATAACTTCTTCAATCTTACTCATTGAAATCGTTAACCCTAATTAATATTACTTAAAATTTACTAGCCAAACATTTTTTTTTTTGGTAGTTGCTGGAAATTGAAGATTCTTCTTCCCCTTTTGAACCCCACTTGATGGTTGAGGTAAGGCAAGGACATGTCCTGTTCTGCTCAATATTTCTCAATATCTTTCTGTAAACAGCATTATGTAATTACTACGTAATTTTTTTCTTTAGTTGAGGATTAAATCTTAATTCTTAGTGATCTCTTTTACCTTCCAGATTGTCTGTGTTCATTACTTTTAGAGGTTTCTTATCATTTGCAAACCATTCTCATTACAAACATGTTGAGATTCCATATTTGTATGATAGAATATAGGATATTCCATTCTTTATTTCAGTAGTTTTCAATTGAATGTTCGCCTTCTATACGAGACCAAATGCTTTAGAAACTTGTAGATTGTTTTCCTTTATATATATATATATATATATATATATATATATATATATATATATATATATATATATATATATATATAAATATAATCATATGTAAAAATTACATATTTTTTTCAGAAAAGCATAAAAACCGATTTCTTTATAATTTATTAGTGTCATTTTATATTTTCTTTTCCTCTGCTATTTTCCTATTTAGCAGACTACTTATAGTATTTGCAGACTACAAAATGTCACCTTCAGTGCAAAGAAAATAAACATGTTAAATTTTTACATACGACCTTTTGCACTAATTGTAGCAATAATCATCTATTCAATCACCTGCTATTTATTTGATATAATTATTATAATATGACATTCTGAAAGCTGTGCATGGTCTGTTTTTCTACATATACCTCTTATAGTTTTGCTGTTAACTTACCTTTATATAATGAGATTATGAACTTTTTAATTCCATTTTTTTTTTTTCTCAGGATCCAACTGAGGTCATTCATCAAGTAAAGTGTTGGAGTAGGTTCAAGGAATTAATACGAGTATTAGGAGCATCACTAGCAGAAGTAGGAGAAAGGTGGGCAGATGGCAAAGGTCCGTTAGCTGTTGACTTTACTGCTGAAGAAATTCGGCAGATGGTGAAGGCTTTGTTTCAAGTATCAGACAGGAGAGCTGCCATACTTTCTCGTATCAAGTGATCTAGGATTTATTGGCCAGTGTATGTTATTATATTTGATATTGTATCATATAGAAATGACCAGTGCTTATAAAAACTATGTACATAAACTTTATATTCCCCTTTGTAACTTAATGAATAAAAACCTCTATTTGTATAAGTATTATTGTTAATATTGTAATGTTACATACCCTTCTTAGTATATATGCTCTGTGTGTTTATATATGATTTTTTTTTATATTAACTTTCAAGCCATTAGTCAAAAGTATGGTATGGTATAAGAGCAAAATGATAATTCATAAGGATGAATCCTGAAAGACTTAACCATAAAATCTTTCAGCGCATCCACAGTCATAAGAATGTAAGCGGGTATTTTAAACAGATTAAGGATGATATGGACCAAGTGGGGCTAAGAGACCAAGATTGTTTAGACAGAGATGAGTACAGAAAGGCGCTCAAGAGAATAACGGTTCTTGCGGGCAAGAAGCGCTCCAAAAAGGGTGTTGCGTGGTCTGAGGAGAGAAAACGTAAGCACGCGGAGCTCATGAGGGGCATATGGGAGAAGAGGAGGCAGATGAAGAGGAAGCATTAACTTCATGGTATTCGCGTGGTCTTTAAGGCCTGTTGGTGAAAAAAAAAAAAAAAAAAAAAAAAAAATGCAAAATATTGAATCAAACAGAAAAATCAACACACAACTTTCACTTACTGCTCTACTTTGAATAGAAATTATTTTCTGGCAATGTTGGGCTGTTATAAAATTTTTGAAGTGCATTTTAAACGGAGCTAAAGCTCAAAGCTTTACAATTAACTAACTTATTAATTAAGACCATTAAAATAACAAAAACTCTATTTATTATATTGATGATTGACAATAAAAATCTAGTTACTCCATCTGTTTCCGTAAACCACATAACCTCAGTCTCTCAGCTATGTGTATCTTTTAGATGATATAATGACTAACTCAAATTTCAATATTTTTCTGTAAAATCATTTTAGTGATATTTCTTGTTGGAGAAGTTGTATCTATACAGACAGTGAGTAAGTTGATTCCAGAGTAGGTGATTGCAGTGTTAAAATACAGAACTGTGAATAAAGGTGTAAATTTCTCATTAGAAACATCACTAAAATTAATTATAAAGAATGTTGAAATTGGAGTTAGTCATTCTGTCAATTGAAAGGCTCATGTATGATTATGTATGCCTATAAATGATTATGGATTGTAGGATTATAAGTTATCAAACTGTTATTTTCCATTGTAAAGTTTACTAAAATGAAATTACGAGATTTTCATTGCCTGCCATAGATAGGTCAAAAGGTGTCACACTAATTGTAAGTGGATAATGTTGAGATATCACAAAGGGAAAATTCATCAAATTATTCACTAATTTAATTTTTTAAAAGGTTACTTGATGATAATTCGGAATAATAAGGCTATAAACATATCCATGAAATATTTTTATATTTCACTTCTTATTTCACACAAGTACAATGAATTAGTATTTTAAACAATGTCATTGCCTTGATTTGGTGGATTTTAATTACTTTTTTTCAAACTAAAAAAAAAAATTTAAGTTTACAGTTAGTAAGAAAATTTCATTTAATTTCCTTGGAAACATGTTATTTACGTTAAATAATGTTAGTTTTCAGAACTTATTATTTATAATTTTTTCGTCACTCTCCTTTACCTTCTACAACTTCATTTATTTTATATTATTTTTTCTAAAAGTCTCCACTTTCCAAAGATGTGTTATACATATACTCTCTGACTATTATTTCCGCAGATTTAGTTTCTGCGACCTGGATAAGGATTTTTCCTTTTTTCTCCCGTTTCCAATTATCATATTCTTTCAAATTTCATAATTAGCCATGTTTTATAGTTACTGTCAATAAAATAGAGTTAATTTTTTTTAAATTAACCTATTAAAGGTACTTTTGTGGAAGACGTATATGAACATTGGGCATTTAATCCCTGTGAAGCGACATCAATGGGGATAACAGCTAAATGGTTTTATAGCTCATTTAATTATACTATGATACACGGGGTTTAATCAAAAGTTTTGGAGCCATTTTTGAGAAAATTGTAAAAATGTGTTTCATAATTGATATAAAGTGGCATTTTTGGTTAGCCGATTTTAAGGAAAAAGTTGCTGTAGCATCCAAGTCATATACCTATCTTAAATATGTAATATCAGTTTTGTACGACTTCATTTTTGAGCTAGACTGTTCTCAGACACAAACCATTTTGTGGGACTTGGTTATTTGGACTCAGGGAAACTCAAAATGTGTATTTCCATTGAAAACTCAGATTCGAAAATTTTGACGATTGCAATACTTTCCCTTACTATATATTACATAGGTAAGTGAAAGTAAAAAAGTAAACTAGTCTTTTAGAAATAAACAGCTGGAGATACTGCAGTTGTTCTCACTTTTCTCTCATTAAATTATAAAAAATAAGGTTTATTCAAGAAACTAATATCTTCTAAATGTTATAAATCGTGTTACGTGTCACAATTATTTGGCTAGTTTTCACAAGAAAATAGCAACAGATTTTGACTTTTTTTTATGGGTTTCTTTATTTTTTAGCTAGTGATAGATCAGAATAATTCTAAATCTGACCCAGAAAAAAAAAGTATTTAGCAATATTAAACTATTTTAAATACATATTTATATCCCAGGGATGGACAACCTTCAATCAGAGTTGTTAAAGATGGGGGAGTACTAATCCTGAAAATATGTGAGGAGGAAAAGGCTTGTAACATTGACCAAATTTATTATAAAGAAGAACACTCCATATACCAATGTGGTAATTACAAAGGAGTACTGGTAGGGAACTAGACCGGCAGGCAAGTGGACCATATGATCCTATTTTCCCACCCCTAACAGTTACTTTGAGGTTACCACCACATTCTTACCAGAGTGGGAATGTGAAGGTTCATTGCCCAGGACCACCAAGAAATTAAAATTAACTAACCTAGGTGGGAATTAAACACACAGCGTTCAATATTCTGGAACCCACGCCCACGGAGTGGCCGAGCTGGCTAACGTGTGTGCATTGCACCCCTGCTGCCTGGCAACCAGATAAACAGAAACTAATATGATAAAATAATTACAAGTTTGCATCCTGGTGTTGAGGGACTTTTAAATATGGCATTAATCCCCTGACTTGGTAAAACCCTGTATAGTGTAAAAGGTGTGGACAAAAAAAAAAAGTTCCAAATAGGAGACAGATTCAAATACCTTGGTACAGCAATAGCCTCACTAAATAATCTACTACCTTAAATAAATCATTATATAACAATGACAAATAAAGCTTTCTTCTCTCTTTCATGAATACTTAAATTCCAAAAAAACTTTATAATTTCAAATTAAGGGTGTATATAGCCAGTTTTGATGTTTGGCTGCAATTATTGGATTCTAACCAGCACATTAAAAAAATAATTGAAAGTTTTTAGAGGAAAATTTTCCAAATAACAACTGGAGTGATTTGATATTTAGATCCCTTATCCATCCAAATCCTGAGCTGCTATGCTACAAACTGCAAAGCAGTACCCCAAGATGGGCATTACTGGAGAAGGATTGTTCTGATGGTCAATGATCTTCAGTTTGTAAAACTCATAAGAGAAAAAAAAAATGTGTTTGTGTGTATATATATATATATATATATATATATATATATATATATAGCCGTTTAGGGTTTAAATTTAAATGATAAATAATACACTGAAAATTTATTGATCTCATAAGTACTTGAAACTGAAATATGAAATGTTTGTGAGCACATAGAGCACGTCAGTGAATGCATAAATGATCCTTCCATGGGATTATAATAAAATAAATATAACTCTCTATCTACTCACACACACATACATACATACATATATATATATAATAAGTGACCTTATTCCCAATTAAATGGTTATGTGTATATATATATATATATATATATATATATATATAATATATATATATATATATATATATATATATATATATATATATATAATAAGTGACCTTATTCCCAATTAAATGGTTATGGGTATATATATATATATATATATATATATATATATAATATATATATATATATATATATATATATATATATACCCATAACCATTTAATTGGGAATAAGGTCACTTATTATATATATATATATATATATATATATATATATATATATAATATATATATATATATATATATATATATATATATATATACACATAACCATTTAATTGGGAATAAGGTCACTTATTATATATATATATATGTATGTATGTATGTGTGTGTGAGTAGATAGAGAGTTATATTTATTTTATTATAATCCCATGGAAGGATCATTTATGCATTCACTGACGTGCTCTATGTGCTCACAAACATTTCATATTTCAGTTTCAAGTACTTATGAGATCAATAAATTTTCAGTGTATTATTTATCATTTAAATTTAAACCCTAAACGGCTTTGAAGAATAAATAAATAGCTAGACAATGTTCTTGAATTGCCTTCTGATCAGTAAGTCCATGTTAAATTACAGTTTTTTTTTTTTTTAGAAGCAATCTATTTTAAAGTGATTTTGCATTGGCTTGATTATCTCTTCAAATTCATTCTTTGTAGGTGTATGCCTTGATTTTTGATTTGATTTCAATAAACATTTTTATTGCAATGTATGAATACAAATACAAATATTTTATAAATGGTGGCCATTTTTGTTTTTAAGAGTTTTAATTATTTTTAGAGTTCACAAAAATGAACAGTTTTCTAAATTACTCAATTTTAGATTAGATTGAGATTTTAATGATCAGCATTGTGATCAGTTCATTCTGCTTTACAAATCAAATGCCTTTGTGTCTAACAAATATATTTCTGTGTATAGTATATTTATGTAATGATATGAACAAAGTTCAATATTTTCACAGATAAACTGCTTTAATTTAGCTATACAATGTCAATGCTATTATACTAATACTATTATTGTTTAAAGGTTAAACCCTCTAAAATGTTTCCCAATTTTCCAGGTGCAATATTTTAGTCTGGTTCCTAAGGGATAGTGCAGCTAGAAAATTAGGAAAAGATTAATTAAATTTTAAAAGATCATAATTTTTAAATGGTTACTCTCCTCCACTGATATTATTTTTATTTGAGGTAAGCATACTAAAAATGAGTAAAAAACTGCAACAAAAATAGGCCCCATTTATGATCTGTGAACATACCTGTATATAAAAATTATTTATGAACTTCCAGAACACCAAGGCTTGGATCTACAAAGAATGTTTGTTTTTCTGAAGTGGTCAAACAATCATTTATTTGTTTGTAGATTTGTTAGAATAGATTGACTCATCTGTTTTATAGACTGTCATAATGAGTGTGTTTTCGCATTGTCATCATATGTGTTAGTCTAATTAAAATATATATATTTACAACTTTTCCAAATTTAGGAAACTAAATTATTTTGTATTTTTTAAAATAAAATCATGGCTATAGATTTACACATGGTGCCAATATATTCCAAACACATATGTTTCCATGACAACATACACAATTTAATTTGGCTTTATGAAATATACTTAATTTGAAAAATCTATTAAAGAATTTTTTAAGTAATAATTTTTAAATTTAGTTGTCAAATTATCATTTACCAAATTGATCCTCTTTCCTGAATGTATAAATATGGTTGAAGAACTTAAGTCACATTTTTGGGCTATAACCCTGGACAGCAATAACAGACAAAATATTTGGGATCCTGAAAAAAATCTGGCTACTCATGTTGATATCCTGCATCGAGAACACCAACTCTCAGTAAAACATATCGTGGTCGAAGAAGAAACACGAAACCATGATTTGAATGTTGTTGAAATTGAAGCAATAGGTTATAAAGAACAACCTATTAAATTTCCTGTAACTTTAATGGTTGGAAAATGTACTATGATGCAGTTAAACCTATTTTTCCCTAATCCACCTATTACATTTCACCTTGTGAGGGGCTCGGGACCTGTGCATTTGCTTGGTAACCATACTGTTAACAGTCCTGATGAAGAAATTTGTAGAAATACAGGTGGATTAGGTCAAGAAGTAGAGTTTGTGGTAGTTGATGAGGATGAAGATTCGGAAGAGCAAGAAGAAATCTTGGAAAAGAGTAACAGGAAAGAACTTAAACGCACTGTTTCACAGTCTAATATAACTAAAATAAGGAAAAAAGCAAAGAATGAATAGAGTGTGGACTATTTAAGGAAAACAACTATTTCATTCTCAAAAGTGAATGAATAAAGTTTATTTCAATTTTTTAAAAAATAATGCTTCACCAATAATTTTGTTTTTGTTGAAGTTTTGTGCAGTTTTATTTGTTTATTTGGGTTTAACGCCTTAATGTTCTCCAACTGTGGTAGGAAGGACGGGTTATCCTACAAGTAACCAACCTATTCCAGCCAGAGTGAGAAGGTCGAGATTCGATATGTAGGTGCGCCACGAAATAAATTTCAATTCGCCCTGGCCGAATTCAGAACCGGTACCACTTCTGCCTTGCTAAGATGACACGTCAGTTTTGTTAAAAGTAAAATTATTGAGACCAAGGATGTTTGCTTGGGTAATTATGTGATAAATGATATTGGTTTTGAATGATTAAATTTAAGAGGAATTAGATTGTTTGGTTGCATCCCTTTGTTGTCAATATGATGCAGAATGTAGGCAAAATATTTTAAAAATTTGGAAATCATAAATTTAGCAGATCTATTTTTTTTTTTAAATTGTTGTCTAGTCTAAATAAACTAAAACAGATTTTATTTTACTATGATTAACTGGATCAATTTTAATATCTATTTTTTAAAAATGTAACTATCCTGTGCAGCATCAGTTTTTCTAATATTGGATTAGAACATAAATTATTTTAAGTTGTACAATAACCCATAACAATTTAGCCAGCTCATGAATTATTGCCTCCATTTTAGATTGACCTGATTACACAAATTGCTAGCTTGGAAGGCTAGTACCACTCAAAAATTTAAATTTTTTTAAATGTTGCATTATAATAATTATTTTGTAGATTAAGATCAAGCAAAAGGAGATAATTGTTGAATTTGAGATGTTCACACTTTGTTATAAAGTAGTAACATATTAATATGTAAACATACACTCACAAAGATAACAATCTATTTAAATTGAAATTTTGAGTTATATCGGTCATTTTCCAAGGTTAAAAAGATATAACTTGATACAATTTTTTTACTATAACAAAAACAATTAATTTATGGTGCACTTTTTTTTCTTCTTTTATTGATTTGAGTTTATATTGATTTATCTTTTTAGAATTAAGTTGTTAAATTTTCCCAGTAAATTACTCTTCATCTCAATCATTCATTATTCTTTTTCCTTATCTTCGTAATATTTGACTGTGAAACATTACAGGTGTTATTCTTCTCATTATTCCTTTCCAAGATTTCTTCTTGTCCCTCAGAATCCTCATCCTCATCTACTACTATAAATTCTACCTCTTGATCTAACCCATCTGTATTTCTAATAGTTTCTTCATCTGAGCTGTTTACAGAATGGTTACCAAGCAAATGCACTGGCCCAGAGCCTCTTGCAAGATAAAATGATACTGGTGGATTTGGGAAAAAAAGGCTCAACTGCATCACTGTGTGCTTCCCTAACTTTATTACTATCGGGAATTTAACAGGTTGCTCTTTATAACCTATCGTTTCTATTTCTACAATATTTAGATCATTATCTCTTGTTTCTGCTTCGACTAGAATATGATTTATTGAAAGTTGGTGTTCTCGTCGTAGGGCATCTCCTTGAGGACCTAGAATTTTCTCTGGATCCCAGACATTCTTCCTGTTGTTGCTATCAAGCGTAGTCATCCAAAAATATGACCTTAGTTCTTCACCCATAATGCTCTTAAGTTTAAGAAGTGTAGATATAAATTAATGTTAAAAACTTGGTAAATATTATTGAGACTACTGAATTTTAAAAATTATAATTTTACACAACTCTTTAGAAGGTTAAGAAAAAAAAAAGTATATTTTAATTTATACATTTTAAATGATCATGTTTACAATAAAGCCATCCAACCCCAGTCGCAAATAGATTTATACCAATTTAACAATCACCATCTTGTACCCCAATCAACCCCAAAAAACACTCACCCCCCACCATAAACACTAGATAACCTTCCTCCCACACCAACCACATACATTATCCAATAAACCAATTACCCCATAACTTAACTCCTCAACATCTCTAATAAACACCAATCCTCACAAACATCATTAAATCCACCTTACCAAAACCAACAACAAACAAATAAAACCATAAAACCCAATCATACACCATTTAACCACAATCCTCAAACCACAAACCCCCTAAATACCCACCAAAACACAACCCAATTCAACATCACCCGATATAACACCCCACCCACTAAACCCACCCAATCCCATATAAATAATCACCAACTCTAACTACCCCCCCCCTCATAACCCCAACTTCATAACCACATAAAAAAAACTCCTCCACCAACAAAACTAACCAAAACCAAAAAACAAATACACAAACCACAATCCCCCCCCCACCCAACCACCCCTTAACACCAAAAGACCCATCCCCACCAAAACACCTCCCCCCCACACAAACCCAACATATACACCCCACCCCCCACCCCATAAACCTAAAACACATCATCTCAACACCAAACAATCCATCCCCCCCATAAAAAACATCACCCCCATTCACATCCTACAACTAAATAAAACACTCCCACCCAAAAAACACCCCAAACAACCCCCACCTCCCATCCCCAATACCCCTTCCCCACAACCCAACCACCCAAAACACACCCCCAAAACCAACCCAAACAAATCCTAACAAACAAACCCTACAAACCCCCACAACACACCTTCAAAAATACACTCCAACCCCCACACCCCAAAACCACCTCTCCCCCAACCATCCCAAAAACCTCCTAACTAAAAACCCACCCCCCAACCTAAACAAAATATAAACTAAACCAAATAACACCAATTAAACTAAACCCCAAACAACCCCAACCCCAACACCATACCCCACCAACATAAACTTCACCACCACAAAAAAAACCCCAACACAACCACCTATTCCTTCAACCACAACAACCCTTACATAAAAATATATTTGTTTCCGCTTATATAACGTGATCCTACAATCAATTACTGAAAATGTTAATTGATATATATGTATATATATATTATTAGAGTTATGCCTCAGTATACATGCCTATCACATACGTTTCTTTTTCTTTAAGTATTCATGATTAATTCTCAATTACATATTAAGGAGGTACATTGCCATAGATATATAAGGTTCAATTTTTACTCCATTATTAGGATTCTTATGAAAGTTAATTGCTTTTGGCTTATTCAATATTTTATATATTTTAATGTTATTCACTTTTAATTCATTAATGAGTGAACTTTGTAAATTCTATGTGTATTACTTTGAATGACATGTGTACATATTTTAATGTAATATATTAAAATTAATTAATTTAATATATTTAAAAACCTCTTAGAGTTTTTGTATAAGTATGAAAAAGTGCGATTTAAAAAAAATAATTTTTTTCTTAAAGTAATTTTTGATCTTCATTGGCTTATCATTCAAAATCAATTTATATTGTGAAAAATACTAATTATTTTTTAAATTTATAATAATACATTTACATTTAAAATCATTTCTCATTTAAGAAATTATTATACCAAAATACTGATTAGGATTTCATAAAATTTGAATTGATTTTTGCATATTTTTCAGTACAATTTTATTATTTCAATTTGAAGAAAATATCTAAATATTAATTATTTAAAACTTATAGATAATGTGAATACTCAACATTACTAGCTTTTAATTTTATTTTTCTGTTTGAACTCCTAAATTATCTTATATAAAGATGTTAATTTTTATAATGCAAACTAAAACCCAATTTAAAGCCTAATTAAAAAATCAATCAAAGAACATTTAATAAATGTTAATATGGTCTAAAAAAAAGATGTTATGAATAAACCAATGGTTATTGTCAAGGTTAAATTTATTCCGACTTAAATTAATGGGTCATAGTAGCCCATGGGTTGAACCTTACTAGTGTCACTAGTTTGACTAATGTGAAAAATGTCATTCATTGTATATTTTTGAAAACTCAATCATTGAAAAGGAATGGGGAAAGTAAGTTATGATTTTTTATTCAATATGCTCTTGTGAAGATAAATGTATTATTGAAGATGCAAATAAATTTTTCAAAATATAGTAAATAAATAATGAATATTTCAGTAAATATTTTATAATACAGATGAATAACCTTCTTTAATTTATTGAATATTTATATATTTTATGATAATATGATTCCCCCAAAAATATAAATTCAGTGTTATTATTTCAGGTTTGCCAAGAGGATTTTGAATCTGGTTTAAAATTTGATACAGAAGAATTTCATAGAGAAGTCCAAACTTTTAAAAAGCCTAGGTAAAGTACTTTTGATGAATTATTTCTTGTATATTCTATTGGATTAATTATATTTTTTTCACAGATTCATTGAAAAATGGGGAAAAAACAGATTTTTTAAACTTATGCGTGGTATTGCTTCCTTCATTTTGGTAATATTTATGCTGTCTATCTACATTATAATTCCTGTTTCAAATCATGACAGTGATATGTTGCATAGGAGTAAATGTAAGCTTATTGTACTTTTTATTTTGAGGTAGTTTTCTTTCTAATGTATATTTATAGTTGTTGTGTAATATGTGTATATGTTCATTATTATGTTGTAAAACATTTAGCAATTGGGATCATCTCAGACTCATATGGTGCAGGACATTCTGTAATTGAATTTAAGACCAACTGTTTTCCACAGAGTGAACAATATTCTAGAAAAAGGAGGGATCTCAATTTTTCGGCTCAGTCACTCCCACTTGATCTCTTAAAAGTAGGTAACTTAGAGTTTTAGTATTTATGTCCGATTAGTCATCTCATAATAGATTAGACCAAAAAACACCAATCCTAATCTATTGCTTCTAGGTAAAGATCTGTATGTTGTCATAAGCAGTTTAAAATTAAAAATGCTAATTAATGGAATTAAACTATTTTATTAAGTTTAATGAAATAAAATCTAGTTCATGTTGTTTAGTGTTATTTTTAATTTTATGAAGTGATAATAAGTAGTTAGTGGATCGATTATTAAAATCTTTGATTTAGAAAAAGGAAAATAATGGTTGAAATATCCAATTTATGTTCAAAATATTATGTCAGTCAATGTCTTGTAGATGAATGGAACTGACGAAGTGATTGTTTGGAAGGAAACTAATACTTATCAACCTCTCAATCAATCAAAGAATTTCAGGCCATTGATTAAAAAAAAAGAAGATGCTTGGGTTAGTAAAACATTTATATAAAGTTGTTGAATCAGTTACCTTTTAGCTTGTGCATTTATTTATTTTTTTATCAGTCCCCAGTTAGACGAATTGGACATCCAGATCTGAGAGATAAAATTGAATCTGTGTTAAAGAGAATTGATAACAGGTATAGAAAGTTGATTAAATGAATGATTTACTTTTATGGATTACATCTTACTGAAATAAAAAAAAAAAAAATCTTAATTTATTGTAATATCAGCTATCACTTGAATTTACAGAGCTAAAAATGACCTAGGTATAGAGAAACAGGATCGGACAGAAATTGAACTAGGGAGTTTGAAAGAAGAAAAAAAAAAGTGTGATTTGATATCAGATGAGAGCCCTGGTGTTCAATATGCATTCTGGAAGGGAGAAGGAGATATGAAAACCATCAGAATTAATCAAGGTAATCTTTTAAATTCAACTGATATATCTCAGGGCTTTTACCTTTTATACATACATATTTTTTGTATTTAATTTCTTTATTGAGTTATATTTCATTTTTTCATAACTAAGGATGTTAGTAATAGTGATAAAGGAGTTCATACACACTTATATATTAAAAGTAATAAAATAAAACTTTAAAATGACACTACTTTGATTTAAAATAGTTAATATCATGGTTGAAACAGTGAGGTTGGTTGTATGAAATACGGTTAATTTCAATCAATTAAATTAATATCAATTTTTCTTATTTTAATTAATATTTATAATTTTTTTCCGTGTACTTGTTTCAGGTAAATTAATGAAACAGTACATGGACACATGTGTAGATCCTTGCCAAGATTTTTACCAGCATGCTTGTGGACGTTGGAGTAAGTTAAACCCCATCCCTAGAGACAAAGGTGCATTTGACACTTTTGAAATGCTAAGAGAATCACTGGACACTGTTCTAAAGGAGTTGCTAGAAGAGCAGGATTCACCTGACGATGTCCATGCTTATGTCAAAGCCAGAAACTTGTATAGATCATGTGTCAATTATGGTATAAATATTTTTTTAATTACTAATTTCTATAATATTTTTGTAATAACTTTTAATTACTGTACATTGGAGGTAAAGATAAGTATATCTTAAGAATTAAATTATGTGATACATTAATAGAACTAAATAAAACTTCATGTCTCTCTAATATTTGTATGAACTTTTTAATACAACTGTAAACAATAATACAAACACTTTATGCCTTTTTATTGTTTTCTCCTCTATTATAAAAGAATTTGAAGAACTGTGTTCTTGTTTGATAAAATACATTTTTATAATGTTTTGATGTAAGTTCAATAGGATGGTTTATTAATAATTTTAAAAAATGTCAGTTAAAACTTAGATTTTTTAAAAATTTATTTGAACATATATATATATATATATATATATATATATATATATATATATATATATATATATATATATATATATATATATATGAATTTATGAACATATTTATATGAATTATTTGAACATGAACATTTATTTATAAGGACATTTATTTTATTGAACATTTATTTATTAGAACATTTGAACATTTGATACTTTTTTAAAAGCAAGAATATCTTGTCTCCTTATGTTTTCTTCCCAAATAGATAATTTGTTCAATATTTATCCTTTATTAATATAGGACGAAAAATCAATAAAATAAAATTAGATATTTCCTCATTCTACAAAGAGACTTAATATAGGTATATTTTTTAATTTGTTCTACAATGTATCCTTCAGTATAAAAACAATTCGTTATGAATTATTAAAATAGTATATTTGAAAGATTTATAATATACATATTTATATGTGTGTGTTTTTGTGTTTTCCCCTACATTTTAGAATAATTTGATGACTTTTAGAATTTTATTTTCAATTTTTTTAATCACAGATATTGTTGAAAAACGAGGTTCATCCCCTCTTTTGAATCTACTGAAACAGCTTGGTGAATGGCCAATGATAACTACATCTTGGAATGAAACTAAATTTGATTGGCTTTGGCTGATGGCTAACCTGAGGTTATTTAACAATGATGTTCTGGTTTCAGAATGGGTTGGTCCTGATATAAAAAATTCTGATGAGTATGTTATACATGTAAGTTACTTCAAACTATAATAATTTTAATGCTTTTTCTATTAACCTCTGCTTTCTGTAGAATAATGCCAATATATATAACATCAAGTTCATTTCATCATATGAATTCCAAATTGTTTTAGGTGATAAATAGTCAGGACACAGCCATTTTAAAGGTTTTTTTATTGGTGCTGATATTTCAACCCAAGCATGTGGGTCATCAGCAGGTCATGTTTCAAGCACTGAAGTTATTCAAGTAATGCTACTTGAACCCAGTACTGCTACTTGAATTCAAGTACCCAGTACTTAAATAACTTCAGTGCTCAAAACCCACATGCTTGGGTTGAAACATCGACACCAATAATAAACATTTAATAGTGTAGAGATAGTTGACCGTGATGATAATATGAGAAGGATTTGTTCAGAGGGTGCAGTCAAATGAATACTATATATCAAAATAGTATTTTACTGTTTATGCCGATGTTTGTACCCATTTTGTAGTTCTTCATCAGGGCTTCAAAAGATACAAAAAAATAAAAGGTACATGATGAAAAAAAAAAAGAATTATTAGTGATAATAAACAAGAAACACTTACGTACTTCGATGGCTTCTACAACCTGGGGTGGGTCTGGGCCTCCTCTAAGAGCTTCCGCCATCCAGTTCGGTCTCTCGCCGCCGCCTTTCAGTTCTGTTGGTGTATTATCGTTCTCGAGTCTACTGTCACACTGTCAACCCTTCTCAACCTGGATCTTCCTCTTCTTCTTGTTCAGTCCAGCACTCCCTCCATAACTTTTCGGGGTATTCTTTCTTCAGCCATGCGTGCCAAATGTCCTGCCCAACTGAGCCTGCCCTCCTTGATGAACTGTACTACATCAATGCCTCTGTATAAGCTGTAGAGTTCATGGTGTTCCTCCTTCTTCTCCATGCTTCACCTTCTCTAACATGGCCGTATATTCTTCTCAATATTTTTCTTTAAAAAATTAGGAGACCTTTCTCATCTGCCTTAGTGTCCAGGTTTGTGAAGCATAGGTAAGAACCGGTCTTATTAGAGTCTTGTACAGCTGTACCTTGGTTTCTCTTGTGAGCAGATAGCTCTTCATCTGTCTTATAAGCCCAAAATAGCATGGTTGGCTGCCGTGATCTGCCGGCTGATTTCAAGGGGCACATTGTTTGAAGAGGTAACAAGCGTTCCCAGATATAAAAAATTTGGGATCCTTTCAAAGAAGAAATTTCCTATTGTGAGAGCTGAGGTGTTCACTAGATTATTCTCACCATTTGCCAGCATATATTTGGTTTTGGTCTTGTTGGTTTCTATTCCAATATTCAGCGCCACCGAACGAATAGCAAGGCGTCCTCCATAGCTTTTCTTGATCTCACCACTATTTCCACATCGTCCGTGAAGGCCAATAGCTGTACGCTTTGATGAATAATGGTTCCCGAGGTTTGTATTCCTGAATCTGGAACTGCCTTCTCCAGAGCTAGTATGAACAGCAGGCGTGCCAAACCATCTCCTTGGCGTATATCTTTCCCTGTCCAAAACTCCCTAGAGTGATCTCCCTGAACTTTGGCCGTGCTGCAGATTCCTTCCTTGATCATCTTTGCCGGTCTGGTCAGCTTTTGAGGGATCCCCAGGTCAACCAGAGCTTCATATAGGTTTGATTGGTTGATACTATTATAAGCATTCTTGAAATCTAGGAATAAATGGTGGGTTGGCAATCTGTACTCGATCCCTATTTCCATCATCCTCAAAGCAAACACTTGGTCAATAGTGGACATTCCATTTCTAAAACCCATCTGATACTCCCCAACCATTCCCTCAGTATAAGGGGATAATCTCTCATGTAAGATAACAGACTGGACTGTGTACTTGCTAGAGAGGAGGGAAATCTCGCTATAATTTGAACATATTGTGCGGTCACCTTTCTTGTGGATTGGACATATTGTACCCTCCTTCCACTCCTCTGGGAGCTCCTCATCATTCCATTTGGGCTATTTGTTTCCATTTATCTGCACGCAACTCTATTGCATCTTTATTGATTCTATCTATCCATATGCTTTTTGGCCTTCCGCCTGGTCTTTTGCCTTCTATTGAGGCATTCATTGTTATGTAGAGGCTTCCAGATGGATTGCTATGAGCTATATGTCCTGCCCATCTTAACCTCCGTACCTTCATATAATGAGATATTGGTTGACCAGTTTCTGCAAGCAGTTCTTTATTGTTATTTTTCCTCCATGTGTTAGCAGTCTGTTCCCAGACCGCTCCAGTTATTGTGCTGAGGATTTTTCTCTCAAATCTTTTTTCTAGGGTACTGGTTAGTTTCCAGGTCTCAGAGCCATATATTAGAACTGGCTTTATCATAGCATTGTACGCTGTCAATTTGAGATTTCTTGAGCTTTTTGGGATTTCAATAACTTTAAAAGGGAGAAGAAAGCTCTGTTTGCGCTGGTTATACGCTGGTCTATTTCAATCCATTGTTCATTCATTGAGATTATTTTGGAGCCTAGGCATTGTAATTTTTCTATTCTTGGGAATGATTTTCCTTCTATGCAGATCCTTTTATTGGAGTGAAATTTTCTGCTTATCATTTATTTTGTTTTGTCTTCATTTACTTGTAGGCCGATCTACTCTGCCTCTCTTATCAGAGTTGTAACGAGTTTCTCAATGTCCTCTTGATTACTTTCACGGACATCAATATCATCTGCGTATCCAAGGATTTTATGATTCATTCCAACGTGTGTCTCTTCCAGTGTTCCAGAAACTAAAAATCAGACCTGCATACTGTAAGCGAGGGAATTGTTCAGCATTTCATCCTCTCTGTATGTACTGTTAGTCAAAATTATATCTTAACTCGACGCCGTGTTAAAGAGGCAAAAAGGGAAAAAATAGTGTCGAAAACCAAATGATAACTAGTTTTATTGAAGATATGAATTAAACTATCTCAGAAACTAAAATTCGGATCTACATAAGTGAGGGAAATGTTCAGCATTTCATCCTCTTTATAATCAGCTATTATTTAGAATTAATAGTTCATGTTATTAATCTCGCCTTTTTGTTGTGTTCACTTCTATTGTGTGGTCTAAAGCTCACACCTTAGTTTTTTTTCGTTTGCAATACAGACCTTGAAGATCTTTTGTCGCCTTAACAACCCTCCTCTATCTCTGCCCATTTCTTTCTTATAACAAGCTACATGCCCTGCCCATCTTAACTTTCTTGCCTTTGTATCATGAGAATATTGACTGTAAGCATCTGTTTATTGGTCTTTCTCCTCCATGTGGTTAGTGCTCTGATCACAGATTGCTACGGTTCTCATCCAGAGGATTTTTTCTCTCACATCTTTCAATACTTCTTTATGGGGTGCTGGTTAGTGTCCAATTCTCGCAGCCATGCAGCCCATATCAAAACTGGATTTATCATATCATTATGCACTTTTAATTTGAGATTTCTTCAGATTTTTCTAGATTGCAATGCCTTCAATACCTTTGAAAGAGGGAAGAAAGCTATGTTTGTGCTTGTTATACGCTGGTCTACTACTACTATATGCTGGTATCTACTTCCGACTATTGGTCATTCATTGAGGTTATTATGGTATTTGAATTTGTTTACTCTCCGAAACAATTTCCCTTCTATGCTGATCCTATATTGGAGTGGAATTTTCAGCCTATTATCATATATTTTGTTTTATCTTCATTTACTTTTAAATCTTAATATAATGTTCATTAATAAATTTCCTGTCCACTAATAAAATAAAATAAATATTTAGAATATGAATAATTACATCCTTATTGCAGCTAGACCAAACCAGCCTTGGACTTCCTACTCGAGACTATTATCTGCAACCTGCAAATCTCATGTATCTCCAAGCCTATACTGAGTACTTGACTAGAGTAGCTACACTGCTAGGAGCTTCTGTAGAAAATGTTACAAAGGATGCCCATGAAACTATCAATTTTGAAACTAGCCTGGCAAAGGTAATAAATTTTTTTTTTTTAATTTATCATTTATTAGTTGAATTTTTTCCTAAAAATATAAGAGAAGACTTTTCCACTGTTTTGAATGACATTGGAGATGGAAGGGAAGACTTTTGAACTGCATTGAATGACATTGTAGAGGGAATAGAAGATTTTTACTGCATTCTATTGAACAACATTGTAGGGAACAACATTGTATTGTAGGAGGAAGGGGATGCATTTTAAGGATTTTAATTTCTAGATAAATCCATACGATAAAAGTTTAGATTTTCTTCTAGGAAAAATTGGATTGGTTATAACCTAAACTATCTTTTTACTGTGTTCTCTCCTATCAATTTAGAACTAGAATTATTAATTGTTATTTGTAGATGACTTGATAATAAGTCAATCAGCTCGAAACATCGTCAGAAATATAATAAAAAATTGTTAAAATATAAGGGCCTATTTATTCCTTGAAGACACCATATATAAAAACTAAAATATCTTTTTACTGTGTTCTCCCCTATCAATTTAGAACAAGTACTTTACCTTAATAGGTTGTGGTTGGGAATTTTGTGACTGTGCATATAGTATAGTACAAATAGCTGGAGAAATATTTAATACAATTTACCACTATTATTATAATCTTACCAGCAATCAATAACAATTTAATCTATTTTTTACTTTCACTTACCTGTATATGAAATATATAGTAAGGGATAGTATTTTGATCTTGTAAAAATTTTTTAATCTTCGCTTTCAACTGAAATACATGTCTTAAGGTCTCCTGAGTCCAAATGACGCATGTCCCGCAAAATGGTCTGTGTGTGTGTGTGTGTGGGGGGGGGCGTGTCTGTGTGCATATATGTGATGAGTCTAGTTCAAAAATGAAAAGTTGTATGAAAGTGAAATTGCGTATTTGAAGTTTTTATAAGCCTTGGATGTTACAGCAACCTTATATCTGAATATAAGCAGGAGTAACTCACATCGACCATGTAATGGAGTTAACTGTTATACCGACGGATCCTTAATGGAGCAGGGATCAGGGGCTGGTATCTGAAGAAAGGATAAGCCTAACGAGGGAATATTCCTATCTCTAGGTAGATACATGTCCGTCTTTCAAGCCGAGATTTTAGCCATTGATTTCTGTGCCCAATCACTTATTCATGAGGATCAATATCGATTCACCTGTCAGGATCAATAGGTTTGTGAAGGCATCTGGCCTGTTTTAATTGAGTTTAGGACGACCTACAATAGAACTACTTGAGGCCGTGGTGCACAATAATATCTGAACAAAAAAAAAAAAAGTCAAAATCGGCAAACTGGAAGTGGCACTTTATATCAACGATTATACACATTTTTACAATTTTCTCAAAAACAGCTCCAACAATTTTGGTTAAACTTTTCATATTAGTGTATTATTAAGCAGTTTTTAATATAATGTAGGTTTTATTCTCATTGATGTTCTCTAACAGGGCTTAAATGGCTAATTTTCAATACTAGCTCCCCCTAAAGTGTCTTTAATTGTTTTTATATGAAACAGTTAACCATTTCACATTAATCTTTGATGTAAAAAATAGTTAAATATAAAATTTGAACGTAATTGATAATTAACTAAAGGAGAAATAAGAGATCGTAGATAGAAGAGATCACTTGGGCTCCCCGAAAGATTACAACTGGCTTAATTTAATATGGGCCCTGACAATGTTATGTATATCTACATATGCGGTTTCCAGAAATGCTATCCTTGGTATTATTTAAGATTTAATTGTATAGAATACAGCGATATAAAAATTAAAATTTGTATATGTAAGGATATTTAAACATATAAAAATACCCACAATGCAATGTAAATGAATATAGAATCTATAAATTTTACTTTCACTTCCCATTTGTCTAAAATACTTGATTCTGCTAAGAAGAGGGTGGGTAAATGAAAGTCGTGTGATGCGCGCACCAGATTTTTATATGTATTTTTGTCTTCGTAATTCTGTCTATGGAAATATAAACAACGCATCAAAGAAAAAAATATAACTACATGACTCGCACTCGACCCAGTTTGAGAAAAACATATTTTTACATGTCTCTCCACTTCCTCCTCTTTCTCCAAAATGTGTTTAAAAAATCCGTCATATGCCATTCTCATATATGAATGAAATGACAAGAAAGTGCTCTTATATTTTGAATATTTCTGACACTTACTAGACACTCATTACTTCAAAACTTGATTCAATTGACAGTTTTGAGCTTATATTCTTTTTACACATGATTATCTTAAATAACAAATGCTTTGTAAAATCCTCAACGTTCCTTACATATGTTATAAATGGAAAAATCCAAATAACAAATCCATGAGTCTCCAAACAAACAGGTGAATACTTATCTTTTGCCAATGTTACGAATGTTCAGGCTTCATCAGGGCGGAAAAACCAAGATCACCTATATCCAGAAAGAAAAAAACAAAAAGGAAAATAAATAAAATGAAAAAAAAAATTGTTGCTGTAGACATCTCAGGAAGCCAACTGAATTCCTGCTGAAACTTGGTGAATAGAGCAGGCAAATATTGGGCAGTACTTTAATAACTTCAGTGCTCGAAACATATCCTGATGATGATCCACATGCTTGGGTCAAAACTTCGGCACCAATAAAAACCTTTGAAATGACCGTGTCCTGACTATTTATCACCCATGATATGTAGAATAGTCAACTAACTTCCTTTAATTATTCACCTGTATGTTTGGAGAATCAAGGATTTGCTGTTTGGATTTTTCCGTTTATAACATAATTACCTTTATGTCTTTTTTTTAGCTTTATGTTTATTTTGTAATTCCTTACTTAGTCATCCTGAGCCAAGTTTAAAGTTTGGAGGCTCTTAGATCTAAGAGTTTTAGCTTTCCTCCTCCCCCCTCTTCATAGCATCGGAAGAGGAAAGAGGTTTTTGCAATTTTTCTCAAGAAAATAATCTTTATAATGACAATTTTAATTTTATTGCTTAATGACATCACTTATAAAAATAAGTTGAGAATTCATTTTTAGTATTTTGGATGCATTGAGCAAATTAAGTACTAAAAAAAATTATTATAAATAATTTTAACCTTGTCAATTGTATAGTAGCCTTGGATATATCTGTCACTTGTTTTATGCTAGATCTGCTGCTCCTTTAAGCTATTGCAAAACTGCAACTAGCTTCAATCAACAATATTTATGAATACCAATTAATTGTATACAAAAAAATTAAATGACTTTTCCTAATTCATCATAACACACCTACTTTATTATTTAAAAAAATGTGTTTTCAAAGGTGTATCCTGGCATTAAGTACACCTAGGCCAGAGTCTAGTATTAAATCGAGCCGTGATGTTAATAGTGAAATTATCCACCTGAAATTTCAATATATTGTATTTTGTAGACCTGTTTTTCCAAAAACTAAATATCCTTCAGATGAAAGACCTGTTGGGTTGTATGAAAAGAATATGGTCCTATTAACTTTTACAGAACAGTAATTGGAGTGCTACCATTTTGTATTTCATTTACATGCTTCTCTTATTCAATTTTTATTTACGTATTTTAAATACAATTGTTAAGCTAAATGAATATTATTTTAAAAAATATATTATTAGTGTTACTCATAGGAACTTAACTAGAGGTTTGATTTTCTTAAAATATTTCAGATTACTTCTTCTCCAGATGAAAGAAGGAATGTAAGTGAACTTTACCAAAGGATGACAGTTGGAGAATTGCGGAATTATGTCCCCCAAATAGATTGGACTCGCTATTTGTCAATTGTACTTGGTAGACCAGTCAATATATCAGAAAATGTAGTAGTATTTGCTTTGAGATATCTTGAAGATCTGGTTTCTCTTCTTGGCAGGACTCCTTCAAGGTAGAGTTGGTATGCCAAAATGTATTTCAATATTTAACTATACATACTTATGTAGGCATTAGTTATTGTATGTAATAAATATAATGAATAATTTATGTTCCTTAAAAAATGAATAATAAATGGTATTTGTTAAACAAAATGGTCTATTTACCAATTTTTAAATTTATATTTATTATAGTTTTGATACTGATAGATATAAAGCTAGCTATCATTAATAGTTGTTAGTCTGATTTATGGTTGTCTGCATTGCTACTTTGACATGAAAAAGCTAAGGTGACTTATTCCTGGACTTTATTATGTTAAATTGATATATTTATTTTAAAAATCCATAAAAAAAAAATGAATGAATTATTTTACTCTATTTAGTTATTCATCTAGTACGTAGTTGAGTATGAATAAAAGGATGTAAGGATAAAATAAAATAGTATATTAACTAAAATATTTTTGCTTATCAATTTATTTTTAAGAGTTATGGGTTGTATTGAAAGAGGAGACCGCTTAATTTCCTTAGTCTGGCAGTTATTGCACCTTTTCGTATCTCCTTGCTAACATTCATATGTATTGAATTATATTTTGAACTGTGTTTTCAATTTGCTTGATTTATTGTCAAAGTATTTTATTTTTTTTAATGTTTGATGATACAAGTGCTAGCAATTTTAAACTTCGGAAAAGTTGTCAATAAAGACAAAATTACTTAAAATTAAAATTGGAAAATTTTTAATTATTATCGTTTTTTAATTTTGAGTTGTGTGATGACAGTAAAAGCTTAATGTGCTAAACTAACAAAAACTTGTAATTTAAACAAGATTTCATTGGTATTCAAGCACAAATCACTAATTCCAATTTGTGAATTTTGTATAAAAGTATTTATGTTTGGTGAAAGGATGGAATAAATTATGAATTTTCCATCAAATTACAGCCAAATAAACTAAGTGAAGTTATTTTGGAACTAGTAAATTTTTCTTCAATTCTGATGATTTAATTAATGGAAATAAGCTGAATTATAATTGTTTCAATTTTCCAATATATGCAAATTTTATTTTTCTCTAAACTGAAATTTCTAGTCTTAGAGTTCATGAGCTTGAAGAGTAAATTAGCACTGTAGAAGTAATTTGTTGATTTACCTCAATGTTGTCAACTTTCCAGGTGAATAAAAAAAAAAATATGGTGGATGAATCGCACAACTTTCACTTACCACTCTACTTTCAGTTGAAATTATATTTTTTTTAAGTTAATAAATCTAATTTAATTATAAATAAAAACTTGAAACAATTGATATAAATTATGATTAATCTATCTACTATATATTTATTTAAACACTGTATACGGTGTCCCATAATTAGGGATGGGGAGTTCGCCCTACAGTTCGGAATGGAACGGAATGTTAAACCACTGGAATTCATTCCAGTTCTTGTTCCCTTCTATGTTCGTTCTGAACAAGACTTGGTACAAAAATTATTCAGGAGGAAGTGCAGAAAAATGAAGATAAAAAAAAAAATCGACATTGTGAGAACATTAAAGAGAGCACGAGAGCAAAATTCCCAGAAATGTACTCCTGAATATAAGGAAATAATTGAACTGAAAAGATACTCAGTAAATGGTATTTTATATAACAAATAGATGGGATCATATCAAGAGGTGGTTTGCTCATCTAAACAAACATCCTAATTTATACATCATTGGTAAAAGAAATGATGAATATAATTGTCACTTCAGTTCCATGCAACAGAATATTTTCAAAAGTTGGCATGTTGATCAACGAACGACAGACTAGATTATCAGCTGATAAATAAAAACCTTTTGTTTTTTAACTCCAGATTTGTTATTATTTGTACTTACTTATATTTTGGTTTTACTGGTTTTGTTTTTGAATCCATGCTAAATTTTATATTATGAATCCGTTCTTTTTTGTCTTCGTTTTAAATATCATTTTGAAATAAAACACTTTTTTAGTAAGTAAAATGCATATATTTGAGCACTTGATTTTCCTTAAATGTTGCTTTAATTCTATATAGTTCTAATTAATTAACAGTTCTAGGAAAATATAAAAGAATTTATTTTCTTATATTTCTTTATATATTAAAGAAAATATGAATAATGAAATCCATTTCTCTCTACTATTTTACTTAGTTCTTATACATACACTTTAATTAATCTAAAGCTAAAAATTTAAACTAAAAATAAGAACACACATAAACATTTTAATAAGTAAAAATTATTATAATTAAACTAAACAGAAAGGTGAAATTGTTTCCTCCAACCAATACAAGGCTGTTCGATCCATTTCATTCTCATTCCAACCTTGACTTGGAATGAGATCACTCGTAAACTCGAAGGTGGCTTTCCATCTAATGTTTTTCAATTTCATTGATTGTTTGGAATGAGAATGTTTGTTCCATTCCTTCTTTGTTTCACTCTTAAAATGTGGTGGGGGGAAAAAAATTAGTAAAAGTAAGTAATTTTTTTTAACATTACAAAAATATAAACCATATTGATATATTTCATCTCTTATATCATTTTATTACTTATAATGTGTGAAAGGAATGGCGGAAGATATTGGATACATAGTTTTCCAGGAGATAGGTCAAAAGTTATTCCAAGATTTTTAGTGATAGGATAAAATTTGATGGAATCATTGTTAAGGTATATGGTTGTAATATTAGGAACAGTTTTAAGGAGGTGATTGGAGCCTATCACAATTGCCTTCATCTTCTCCAAATTCAAAATCAAATTGTTAGCTTCTGGTCATTCACATATTGTATTCAAATCTTCTTGAAGTTTTTTGGTAATAGATCAGAAGGCCGGAAAGGGAGATACATTTAGAAATCGTCAGTATAGATATGGTATTGGGAGTGATGGATCTGGAAGGGAAGGTCATCAATATAAACAGCAGAGTGAGGGATAGAGAGCTGAGGATATGAACCAGGCAGGACACTGTTAGATAGAGGAAGATTTTGCAGTTTGGTGAGGAGGATGTTGTGGTCAACCGTGTCAAATGCTTTGGAAAAATCTATAAGTTTGAGGATAGTTAGTTCTGGGTGTTCAATGAAGTTTTGAAGGTAGTGGATTATTTTTAAGAGAGTAGATTGTTTTGAATAGCCAAATCAAAAGCCAGATGTGGAGGGCCAATGTGGGAACGTTCCTCTATTAAGTTGAAAAGTTGAAATCGTATAAGTTTGGTGGTTTTGAAAGATTTTAGAGGAGAGAAATAGGACAAGAGGCTTGAAGTGAAGAAAGATTTGAAGTTTTAATTAAAGATTGGAACAAAGCCGTTTTCAGGAAGTTGAGAATATGGAGTTTTGTAAAGAAAAGTATTAGATATGGTAAAAGATGGGAAGACAGGATTTTATTAGTTTCACTGAAATATTGTCAGGACCATGGTCATTGATGAGGAATTTTAGGATAGTGGTAAGTAGTTCATCCTAAGAAACATTGGGGAAAAAGAAGTCTTCTGGATTGAAATTGTGCTGCTCAATATCAGCAGCAGGAAATGGATTGGGAAAGAAGGATAAAAAATAGTCATTGAGAACATCTGGAATAACCAGAAGGGAACTGAGGTTATTGGATACTGGTAAGGATAATTTATAAAATATTTTTCGTTTGAATTTGGAATCAGGAGCATTGGCGAGGGCATTATGTAAATAGGTGGATATAGCAAGTCGGACTGCTAATTGGTTCCATTACGAAGTTCTTTGAAAGACTCATAATAAGCATACAAACTGGTTCAACAGTTTTTGTGACTTGCTGCTTTCCTTCTTTTTGTCATTTTCTTAATTTTATGTGTCAGGCAAGAAGTGGGGCAATGTAAGGCTTTATATTTTCAGTAGAACATTGGTATCTAATATGGATTTAGAGTTGAGGTAAGGGTGGGCACCATAAGATCGCCAGAATTATTGGAACATATGATATCCCACTGATTAGAATCAAGGTCAAGTTGAAGAGATTTATAGGAATGTAGATCCAAACTGCGACATGAAAACATTCTGGTAAGGATTTAACTGGTTGATGGTGTGAAATGTGAATAAAATCGTGTGATGAAAGAAAAGGAATGTGGAGTTAAGAAGAAGAAAGGATTTTAATGGTAAAGTCTGAAATTTAAAGATCTAATCAGGTATCGAAAAATTGAGTGTAATGGGTAGGAGGATAAAGAACAAGCTAAAGATTGAGGGAAAACTGTAAGTCAGTAAGAAAGGATTTTTCATGAGATAATGAGAGCATATTCATGTTAAAATTAGCAGCGATGATAACATTTGTGTAAGTGAAGACCAGATTGATAAGTGAGGATTCAAAGAGGTGGTGGAGAGTAAATAGAAGAAATTTCAATGAACAGGTATTCTATATCAGAAAAATCATGAGAGGGAGAATATAGGAGGATTTTGGCCTTAAGACTGCCATGGATATATATGTATATATATATATATAAAATCTAAGACCACCTTCCATGCAATCAGATCTGTCATGGTGAAAGAAAGAGTAATTAATCAGATAAATTTGGGAGGAAGGGATAATTGGTTTTAGCCAGATTTCAGATACTGCAGAATCTGCAGGATGCTCTTCCATTTCTGGAATTTATCATTATTGCAGCAATAAGGGTTTGTGCATTAATGTGACATGAGTTATTAGTCATAACTGAGGTGTTGGTAAGTAGAGTAATAGGAAAAACATGAAAAATAGGATATAACATTTTTTAAACAGAATATTCATTTCTGAAATAGCAAAAAATATGTAAACATAAAACAAACGTTAAAGAGAAAAGATTAAAATCATAGATATTTGAAAAAAAAATTATACAAGTTTAATTTATTATGTTAGAAAATTATTTGAACAAAAGGCTTTGACTAAAAAGAAATAAACAGAAAAAGGCGAATAATCAAATAAAATTTCAGCTAATTTGTTCCAAAATGAAGGATAAAATTTAAAAAATTAAAATAAAAATATTTTTGGTGTATTTTGAGAAAAAATAAAATTATTACAAACTTTAGATAAGTTACATGAAAATTTCAACTAAAAATGTCCAAGTCGCTAGGTTTACATATAATTACTGCCGGACTGATAATTAAGTCTGACTGTCTGCATTGAATTTTACCGCCACTGAACCAGATATATTTTATCTTCTTCTTCCTTCATTCTTCTTCTTAATATTCATGAAGTTATTGTCATATATTCGTGATATGTGGCTCAAACCCTGTTTTTTATTTATTTCATTTATCCTTATTGGTAGCTAAAGAAAGAAAAAATAATTTAGGTAAAATTAAAATTAAGCACTATTCAGGATTTACAGAAAATTAATTTAAACTTTTAAAATTATGTTTTCTCAATCATCCCTCAATCCAGGATTCATCAAGTGATTTTTTTCAAAAATAAGTAATGTAAAAAATGTTTTCTTTAATCTATGTGGTTGTTATATGTTTATAATAATATTGATTTTTCGAGCTGAGATATATCTTCAAGCAACTTTTGTGCTTAGTCATTGCAAATGGTTTGTCAAAGTTCCAATTTTTTTTGTTTCTAAAGTTAAGTAATTCTTTGTTTAAAGCCTATCTTCAAAGATGAACGTTGCAGGACAGTAGCAAACTACCTGTTCTGGAGATTCATCCGTCACCGAGTGAACAATCTTGATGACCGTTTCCAAGATGCTAAACAAAAATTTTATTTTATATTGTTTGGGAGGGAAGAGTCGCCACCTCGTTGGAAGTCTTGTGTGGCCCAAGTCAATAGCAACATGGGTATGGCTATGGGTGCAATGTTTGTCAGAAAATTTTTTGACGAGTATAGCAAAAATGATGTAAGTATAACTTGTTACATTTGACTATAAATTGATAATCATATAGTAATATTGCAGAAACTGTTATCAGTGTCTCAGAAGATTTATTTTGTAGACTTTGATAATGACAAGAGAAATTCAACAATCGTTCCGTGAAATTTTAAATGCCACTGATTGGATAGATGATGATACAAAACGTCTTGCTCGAGAAAAAGTTGATGCTATGACTTTGAAAATTGGCTACCCTGATTCTATTCTTGTTTCTCATCATCTGAATGAAAAATATAAAGATGTAAGTTTAATTATCAACTTTTTTTTTTTTTATGTTTATTACCCTTAAATGAAATCATAAGTTTACTGCCTACTTCACGTTTAATTTTTGTATTATATCATTCACGTTTAATTCTATACTACCGTCCTTCATTATTTTTTAGATGTTATAAGTAATGGTTTGATAATTTATTTGAGTAGTTCTCAATATATTATGCTGTATCAGTCTTCAAACGAGCAGAAAATATTTCCTATATTGGGCCCAAAAAGGCTGTTCTGAAACATTAAACAAACATTTTTAAAAATACTTTTTTTTTTGTAATCCTTTCCATCTATAAGTATTAAATATTTTTTCTAAAGATAAGTTAATTTAATCAGTGAAAAGGATATGGCTCAATAATGTAAAAAGAACTACAGGACCTGTAATCTTGTAAATATTATTAATATTATAACATATTGTAAGGTTAATTTCCCTTTGAAAAGTAAACAAACCAGTTTCTGAACCAAATAATATTTATTTTACACAATAATTAATTCTCAGGCTGGTTTGAGACAACAAACACACATCCTTAATTATACAATATAAAAGCATACATTAATTATACAGCACATTTATGAATTTCCATTAAATTTGTCGGAGTCTACTCTTGGCACGCTTTCGAACTGTCACTATATATTTTTCACTCACCCTGTTCTGCAGCTACTTCTCATCTGTATTGGTGAATTCAACTTCCACAACAATTCAACACTGACTACTTGTTTCTCCTTGTTCTCCTCGATCCTCTTTACTAGCCGGCCGGTCACTTTCTGCCTCTATCTGGCTCTTCTTCCCCCACCATCTGCCGTACTTTGTCCATTTTTGACAGTAGTTTGTGACATCACTGCCTTCGCGCCACTATTCAAAATCACTTTGTAATATTTACATTACATTATAGGTTCCTAACTTTATTAGGACCGGTACCCATTTTTTCAATAATGTAATTAACATTGAAAAGACGATCGAGGATTAAGGTTGATCTCCAAAAATATCATTTGAAAATGTTTAATGCCTATTCATAATTTATATTTAAAAGAAACATGTTAAACTGGTTGAGTTTCCGCTAATAAATTTTGTCCTCCCTATTGGAAACCTATGTTATACTAAGGACATCCTGAGCATCCAAGTTTGGACTGAATATTGAACAAAACTCTGACTGAATAGGTAATAAACACTGACCCAGTCCCTGAAGAATTGGCTAAGAAATAAATGGAAGGATAATATTTAATACTATCTTAGGTGTTATAATCTTTTTTTTATTGGATTACCCCCTCTCCGCCATGGCTTACCGGGAGGAGAGGAGGAGAGGGGGTTGTTCTAGATATACGACCAAACCTATTCTAACCAGATTGCGATGGTCGAGTTCCATTCTGTGGATCTGCCACGAAATAAAAGTCAACTCCAATAAAATAAAATAAAAGTCACAAGCCGAATTTGGACCAGTTTCGCTAGGCACAAAAATGCTACAACGGGCATTGCTCCAACACGCTTGGCCATCGCGACCTACTAAGGTGTTATCACCATAAAAAATCTGAGATTGATAAATTCAATTATTTATTCATTTATATTTTATGATAGATATCCTTTTAACTCTGACATTAGTCCCTCAACCTCACCCTCTAGGAAAACCCTTAGCCTTAGCGAGGAAGAGGAGAACAAAAAAAAAAAGAAAAAAAGTTTAAAAGTGACTTAAAACATTACTCTATCAATCTCTTATAGAATGGCATTATTATAACTTTCCATTAAGAACTTGTGATTTCTTGGTAACCCAGTGAACAAATCCATATTACTCCCTAGAACTTAATTCAGTCAAAAATCCAATTTCACAAAAATATAACACAGATCAATATTCAGCCGAACCCTTCATTTAGGAATTCACCAAATATATATTATATAAAATCATAAGTTTATTTTAAAATAATGATGATATAGTTTAATTTTTGTGAAAAAAACTTATGAATCATTAAGTTTCTTTTATATATTTATTTCATTTTTGTTGTCTTCCTTCAAGTTAGATCAGGTATATATTTCTATTTCTATTATATTCCAAATCTGTCATAAACCAAATCATAATTATGAATACTAATTTATTAATTATTAATTTAAAACAAATATGTTTTAGGTAGACATTGATTCTAACTTATATTTTGAAAATACAGTTAATATTCTTAGACATTTGGCAAGAATTGAACAGAGTCATCTTGGTAACCCAGTGAACAAATCCATTTGGAACACAGCTCCTGCTATTGTTAATGCGTACTATTCAAGGAATAAAAATCAGATAAGTAAGCTATAAGGATGAATAGTATTGAAGGATTTTACTTCTAGAGATAGGTTTTCTATAATTATTATTATTATCATCATCAGTGGGTTGGTAAATCATTGTCATCTTCACCAGTTTTGGATCTTTTGTGCCTGTACATTATTATTATTGTATATCTTTAAAGGTTGGTTATTACATATCCTCAGCACCATGTTAAAGTAACAAATGTGATCCTTTTCAATGTTGCACTTTCATTGCTTTAACATAGTGCCGATGATTATCTCTAAACTTGATCTATATTAATTCAAAATGATTACTTTTTCGATTTGTTCTTGCGTATTTATTTATATCCCGTGCGGACATTTCAACCACTTTATGCCATTTTGGCCCCTACACAATATTTAGCTCTTATTATACCTTTCCAGTTACAAACCATCAATGCTTAAATAGAATTGTATCTCAAATACCAACAATACTAATTTATAATTTTTTTAAAAAAATTACTTTTTTATATTTAGTTTATAATACCATTGTTAATATCCATGGATGAAAGCATACGAATACTGGCCCCATCCGTCTGCCTTTGTGAAATGACCCCCCCAACAATTACCAAAACTCTTATTAATGCTAGTATTCATGTACGATAACTGCTGCATTAAATATTTATGTTTTTGGTCCTCTGGTTTGAAGGAAAAGATTCAACACTGGAATGGGATTGAAAAAATTTGCTCCCCATCCTTAGCTGTTCAGCGTAATAATCTCAAAACTAAACCTCCAATTTCTACCATTCCTCAACCAGTCTATCCATATGAACACAACCCTTATCATTATTTAATTGAAAAAGTATTAAAAATGCATTCTTTCAGAACTTAAATGCACAAGGTGTCCTCTAAAGTAAAGTTGAAGTAAGTTGGGTGGAATGTCCACATGTGCATCGAAGCAAAATTTTGATTTCTGAGTGTCCTGGTGGTCCCTCGGCAGGGTACCCATCCCCCCCAAGTCGCTGGCAACAAAAACCATCCTCGCCCCATCCACTATTATTTTAGTTTTGCTCACCCATCATAAAAACAGTGCTTGGGAAATCGAAGAATAATAAAAAATACCACGAGTATATATAATACATCTGTTGCATGCTCATGCTCTCCACGTCATTCCGTTTCGATCCCCCGCAATATTTCACCCCCACTCTCAAATTCTGTTTGAAACCCTGCCCCAACGGCACATGACAATCCTCTTCTTGGCACCTCTTCTCCTTGTGTTTAGTGAAATATTTCATGTCAATTACGTAACGCGCTTCGTGAATAATGAGGTTAAACAATTTTCTAATTTCAACTTGTCAACAAGTGAAAATTTTAAATTGCGTAAAACTGACTCTATGTGTCCAATCCAGTAAGTTTGGGTAAAGTAACATATTTATTATTTAAAATTAAAGTTTCTATCAAGAAACCAGTGAACAGGTACTGTAGAATTGTAACTCTTTCCAATCGTACTTGGATATTAGCAAGCTTTTCAGTACATTTCAACCCTTCATTACCACTTCTATTACCTCTCAATCATCCTGCGTAAAATATTCAGGCTAACTCACCATTCAATCCATAAATGAAGAGCGGACAAGGAGGGTAAAACTTATAAAGCCTTATTAGGTGATGGTGCGAATGCTCTTTGATGCTCATATTTACATTTGATTCTTTATATATGGCTGTGGTTTGCTCATGGACAACTTCACATTAGGAAACCCAGTGGAGGGATCCACCTGAGGAAACCCAAGCATCTATTATTGTTCAACCCACCTTACTTAAAATCAGACCAAGCCAAGGTAGAAATTAGAAAAATCGTATGAGCAATGTATAAAATACACTTGTTTGCGGTCAGTTCCATGTTTGTAAACCATTGTCCATTTGTCCAAAAATTCATAACCCCCTCAACCCACTTCGCCCACCCCCCAACAAACCCATCAAACCCCCAAACAACCCCCCATGTCAATAATCCCTCCTCTTACTGGCCACCGACCTGAGGAAACCCATATAATACACACAAATATGTTAACCAGACAAGAGCCACAGTGTAAGCCATCCTCTAACACATAACTTACCTCCAGTCACAAAACATTTAATGGAGTTTTTCACCTCCCCAATTTAAATAAATACAAAATATTTTCTTATCTTGACCATACCGACACATAGCAATATGCAGAAAATTATTTTATTTACATTTATATTTCAATAAATCTCATTAGACTCAATAGGCACCTCCCAACGTTATTTACACGTTTGGAAGCGATTAATCGTCTGCCCCCCTTCCATCCATACCAAATCAGGAGGGCCTTTCTCATTACATCGTAAAATAACTCTTACAAACCACCATCCCACTACTATTACTTTTTTCATTTGATAGAGAAACCATTCTGTGTCGCGTATTTGACTAATCAAAAACCCTCTTCACGAGAGACTATTCTACAGTTATTTTTCCTTATCGATTAACACACCATTTCCGCATCACGCAAAACCTTATTTGATTTACATTATAAATCAATATAAATCTCTAATAACTCAAAATTCCACAAATATTATTTCATGATCTGATAGATTATTTCATC